AATTTACCACCCCCCCCCCCCCCCCCCCCCCCCTTTTTTTTTTTTCTTTTTTCCTCCGGGGGCCAATTCCAGTCAATGTTAACATATAGGAATTCATCTATACAGTGGAGGGTGAGTGACTCTATGAAAGTTCTGTGACTTCTCAAAATTCTGTTGCTAATACGTTAACAAGCCAAGGAAATGTCAGTCCAATTCCCGCAGTTCAAGTCAGATGCGAAGAATCAAAGCTGCACAGACTACGTTCAGGTGCTGAAGGGAATGGATGCCGAGTTCTTCCAGTATGAGAAACTTCTGAAATATGTCAGCTTTCCCGACTTGAGCGGTCAAGCACCATTTATGGGCATTGAAGACTTGAAGCAAGATCACAGGGAAGTCAAAGACGTTTTTGACTGGTTGAAGAAACGAGGCGTTGAGGAGGTAATGAGCCTGACGGTAGAAGATCACCTACATTGCCCACATCGTGACGAAGATGTGGCAAAATGTGTCAACAATTTTCGTGTTGGGGTTCTCAAGTGGAAAAAGCGGGACATATACCTCACAAACTTACGGAAAGACGCGATAGAGGAGCTGCATCTTTGGTCCAGTGGCAATCAATCTGTTCACGATCAGTGGCTAGGCCAAATACCAAAATTTAAGCAGGTAAGACGCCGAACTCGCTCCTGGAAATATGATGGTTCCTGGTCTTACACAAATGCTAGTTGAAACGACTGTATGTGTATGTGGTGAAGATAAGTCACAGAACCGAAACACCTCTACCACATCGGAGACGCTGGCACATGCGGTACTAAATGGCGCCGTCAGGATGTCCTTAGCCCTCGTCGGATAAGCGAAGTGAGCAAGCAACTCGAAGAAGACTTGAACAAATTACAGGGAGAACCTGGCTATCCATGGATAGCTTACGAAGAAGAAGCGAGCGTTGACAGAGATGGAGATTTCAAGACCCAGCCTCAGACCAAACCAAGGATCAAGGTGTCGCAGATACAATGGCTTCAACAGCGGGAAAATATTATATACCGAAGCTTGGACAACATGTAAGGCTCCAAAATATACTGGAAATTCGATACTTACATTTTCAACAGTTCCTCTGATCTTGTCGGTCCGCAGTTGGCGGAATTTGTCAAAAAGTTTTCTAGATACTACATGGAGAACCAAGAGACAAAGAAGACAAAGGTGGCCCTGATTGATAGTGGCGTTGTTGTCGTCGGAGGGGTGCGCGATGATCATCATCATGAAGGTAAGGAAGAGGCAGAGGGCAAGGGAGAGAAAGAAAGGAAAAAAGGAAAGTCATCTGGAAGCGTCCTGGCGCAGCGGATTGTTGAAGGCATCTCGCTTGTCGGCAGGGACAATGAAGAACAACCGTGGTGGCATGCCACTGAGCCACACGGCACGCAGATGGCAACACTGATTTGCTCCATAAACCCTTTCTGCGACCTTTACGTTGTCAAAGTGGCCGAGTCAAATGCGTCTGGAGTAACGGGGCCTAATGTAGCCAAGGTGAGAGCGATTCGTTACCCATCATCTCTTGTCTTGTATCATCATGAAAATGGAGCAAGCGAATTAACCACTATTGTGTTTTAGGCTATCGACTGGGCACGAGGTAAAGGGGTGGACGTGATATCCCTCAGCCTCGTTGCCTTCTCAGATCCGGGTAATGTAATGGCTCGTGCCATCAAGTCAGCTATAGCCGATGACATTGTCATCACTTGCAGCACTGCAGACGAGGGCAGCGTAGCCACTCGCTCGGTAAGCGACAAGAGCGGCGACGTCCTCTCAATTGCCGCATGTGATAAATGGGGTAACTTACTCCCTCAAAGTCAAAAAACGGGCTTCAATTACCAGTTTATTGGTCATAACGTCCACGTCGGTCAAGTACCTTATTTGGAATCTGCCGAGTCTATTGAGGGGAGCTCGGTCTCAACTGCGGTCGCTGCGGGAATGGCATCACTTATCCTGGCTTGTGCTCGGATTTCATCAGAGTTTAGTGACACAGATTTGGGAAGCAGCCGTCGGCCAACTTGGAGATGTGCAATAGTGAAAAAAATATTTGATAGGATGGCAGGACAGGGGACCTGGGCTGTTTTGGAGAGACTATGTGGCGAGGGGCAGCTTGAAAAAGAGTATGACTTTAAGAAGCTGGTGAATGAAAGCTTCACAGATTTACTTTTGCTAGGTGGGAAGTAGGTTGGGGTTAATTTGCTGTTTACATTAACCGGCTGTTATACCTATATATATATAAGTGGCTCTGTTTCTAACAATTCGTTTTAGTCTGAAAGGTATGGAGGGAATTTCTCAATATACGGCACTTTGTTTCGCATGTAGTCGGCCAAACTAACATGATGATACAAGATTATAGATTTCTTGTGTCGTGAATTGTGAAGCAGAAACTACATGTGACGTACTTGTAGTGAGTGGAACAGACCATCCAGGGTCATTATGCCAAGCCAACACACATCAATCATTGAGTCTAGAGGGAACCGCCGCATCCGGCATGAACTGGAAAAGGAGCAGGCGCCGAGATGAAGCTTCATGTTCTTCCCACTGTCGAAGGAGCTCAGACCCCAACCGAATCCGACCTGGCGCCGGATTTGGAAACGACTACGAAGAATAACAAAGCGCCTCGGAAGAATTGCTTGACTATGCAGTTTCCCTTCTCTGAAGTCATTGTGCTTCAAGTACCAAGGAAACGATTTCGAAGACACCTCACTTCTTATGCGGTGTCTACCTGGCCGTGTTCGGATTCTACTCGGGCGTAAGGCGTTGTACGGTTGGTGTGAATGGGTTGCAACGAGATAACGCTGCGACTAACCTACCAATCGGGTGGACAAATATCAGAAATTGCAAACACTCTGTCATACATGGGCATTCTTTGTGGAGTTGGCTGTGGATTCGACTCCTCTCCACCAACGAGTTGCGATGGCAACCTGGGCCTGCAAAGAGGCCTAGCAAGGGGTTCGGAGCCCGCCTTTGTATAGGAGACCTCGCATACATGTGTAACCAGACATGTATTATCCACCGGGTAGATACAGATGATACAAACGGCCAAATAACAAAGGATATCCCTCAACATGAGAATGACATTGGGTATTAGACTGTTCCGGTATTGTCATGCCCGCTTACTATAAGTCTGAAGTGATTCCACATCAGTTTGTGACGAGGAGCATCGCAACACTCTTCTGAGTTTTCATCATCTTCAACTGGCCGCCACACAAGTGTGGACGTCATAATGTCAAACCGCAAACCACGAGCCAAGAATGACAAATCTTCCACTGAAACCGTATCTCGCGATACATGGGCATGGGCGCAAAATGCGTGGAAATCCATGAAGAGGTCGAGAGAAGCAGGTAATCATTCTGCTGTGGAGGTCAACACCAATTCAGCCTCGACTGTCCCTCAGTTGACACTTTCGCGTGATACGGCAGCGCTGGCCCAAGTCAAACGTGAACATCTATGGGATGAAGCATACGACAACCTAAGGCTGGTTCATCCGCAGTTGGTTACGCAATACGAAGAGATATTGTCCTTGAACATTGAGGCCATGGATACACAGTCTTCTACCTCAATGGCAGAGCTTACGAAGACTTCCATTTCCCAAACTGATCTGAAGGTTAGATGGCGTCAGATGTGTCACCTGATGAATTGGTGGCTGGATAACCGGGACCGAGACAGTCAAAAGTCCAACCGGTTTCAAGATTTGATAAGGGATCATATACGAAAGTCGGCGGGTGGCGGGTTACCCAATGCACTGGCTTGGGTATGCGTTTGCTATGCTTCACAGGTAATATACGCCGACATAACAACTATATAGAGAAATGGCTAATGTAATAATAGGTACTTTTGCACCCCCCGTCGGAAACGGAAGCTATCTGTCCTGGACTTTTGGATATTATTTCCAGGATGAATTGGTACAACTACCTGCCGAGGCTCGTCGCCATTGGCGCCCCTGATGTGCTTCTTGAAGAGGAGCAGGTTTTACGAAGGCGAGTTATTGATTTGTACAGGGAGGTTTTGTCGTATTTGATGAATGCTGTCTTGCCAGTTGGCCGTGCGCTCGATCCTTGGGAGATGAGTCTGACACAAATGCAACTGGCAGAAGACAATCTTTTTACGTTCAGTGGAGGATTGACGGCTTACCAACTTGACGACTTTTTGGTGGACGCGAGAGAGGACGAAAACCGCCGACTCTCGCCCAGCGTCAAGAAAACAATGAGTTTGCCAAGCAAGATGGACGAAGAACTAGCCTGCCTGGGCAGAGTTGATACTCGGTCAAGGATCATCGAGGCGCAAAACGAAAATGTACTCCTGGTCAATGAGCTCTGTCAATGGATCTGTTCAACAGAACAATACAAGAGTGTTGTTGATTGGAGCACTGCAGACGTCACGGAGAGCGATTCCAGCAAGGATATCACAAACGATCTCAAAAGTCAGATCCTTCTGATTGGTGGTGATCCAGGACTCCATACAACAGCTCTTATGGAGGCAATCGTCCAACACCTCTCAAACGAGGCAAACCTGGAAGAACCCGATGTCATCGAAGCCGACTCAAAAGCAGCACCCTGGGTTTTATCGTATTACTCTTGCGGTAGCACCAGCCATGGGATAGACAACTCTGCTAGGGTGTTGAGAAGCCTCATACACTCTCTACTCCAACAGCAGCCAAAGCTGATTACCCACTTGAATGAAGCTCTGCAATCCGCGGAAAGAGATCGGTTCGACAGCCCAAAAGACTTCTTCGCCCTATCGGGGGTGTTTTTTAGGATGCTGAGTGACCAATCTTTTGTTCGGTCATATCTGGTGGTAGATGGCATCGATGGATGTTCATCTGCCCATGGAAGAGATTGCGACGAACACCTGGACGACTTGATACGGTTGATCAAGGCGACAGAAGATGTTCCACATAAGATCAAGTGGCTTTTATCCGCAAACATGAACTCTCGTATAAAAAACGAGCTGATGAAAGAAGGTCATTTTCATCTCCAATATATCATTCTGGACGACGCTTTTCAGACGCGTAAACTCGCGATCATATCTCGCCGCCACATATTTTTCCTGATTCATCAGCTGGCCGAACAGAAACGATATCTTGACAAGACCCAAAAGGAAGTCTCGCGGCTTATCAACGAAAAGTCACAAGGGAATATCCTATGGGCAGTTATCGCTTGTGCAATTCTTCGAAAGAAAGACAGTTGGCACGCAGTCGAGGCCCTCAAGGAGATGCCTGGAAGTCTTGATGAGCTGTACGAATACGCAAGGGTCGATTTGAAAAGACTTCCTCATCAAGATCCCGAACTTTGCAAATCAGTACTTTCGATCGTGGCCATTGTGCACCGCCCCCTTTTGATATCGGAGTTGGGACGACTCGTGGAACTACCGTCAGAAGTTGATCCCGTGGCAATAATCGCAAAGTGCCCATTTCTGGAAGTTCAGTCAGGCATTGTCAAGTTCGTGAATCCAGCAGCTCGACAGAACACCCGGGAGCGATTGCATCATGATTTGACAGAACTTTCCGAAACGCATGCTCTCGTGGCCAGGAAGACGCTGGAATTTCTATCAGCACACTTCGAAGCCGCCACTTTAGGCTTACCCAGACTCAGCCGCCGTCAGAACGAGAGCAAGGAAGAGAGTTTGGCCCACGCTTATGGAACTCTTCATTGGATAATACACCTCCTTAATGTAGAAGGCATTGCCAAAGATGCTGCAACGACAAACTTGGTGGTTTCCTTCATGAAGAATCATTTCTTGCTCTGGTTTGATGCAATGATCTCCGAGGGCCTTCACACCGACGCAGCGGTCTTGATGAAGACGCTTGAGCGCGTTCTACAGGTGAGTAGTCCGAAGAGCACGGGAAGAGCCAAATCGTCAAAAATGTCAAGGAATAACAGCTAATTGTGTGGTCTTAGGAACAAGCAAGAGAAGAAGATGATGAGCTACCGGAGACACTAGATTTCAAGCACCCAGAAGGAGATATCCTGGAGCAACTGAGAGAGGAGGAACAAAGCGACATTCTTTCTTTGGTCCACGATGGCGTCCAGGTTGTCCGCTCTCATATGTCTAGCAACACCTTTTTCCATAAAAGCCCCAACAGTGTCATATTTTACCCAGAGGAGAGCGCTTTGAAACAGGACTGGATGGCCAAGAACAAGACTTGGCTAGGGACGCCGCCGAGAATGACACCCAGTTGGAGCGACAACCCCCTTATCCTATATAACCGCAGTCGTATCCAAAGCATTGACTTCTGTCCAGATGGAAGGCTTTTGGCATCGGGATCTACGAGCTACGGTATATGCGTGTGGGACGCCGAAATGGGAGAGGTACAGCTAAGAGACGATGTTGAAAACAGGGTGCATTATGTTGCCTTCTCCCCTAGCGGCCTGCTGGCCTCTGTCTCGGAGAATGGAGTCGTTTCTTTATGGGATCTAAGCACTGGACACAGCTCTGAGGCCTTGAAAGTCCAACGGAGCCAGGTAACGGCTATTAGATTTTCGCCCAATGGTAAAGAGAGCGAAAAGTTGGTCTTGGCCACATCGGAAGCACTTTTGCTTTGGAAATTTTCCAATATCAGGGAGCCGACATACACCGAAGATGTTATCGAAGAAGGCGTCTCTGTTCATGCCGTGGACTTTTCTCAGCAGGGAACGTGGATAGCCTCCGGAGGCAAAGGGGGAGACGTTAAGATTTGGGATGCGCAACACGGCAATGCGTTGCGCAGAAGGCTACAAGGCCATGAAGGAGATGTTACCTCCATTGCATTTTCGAGGGACGGCAAACTCCTCGTCTCCGGTTCTAATGATTCAACGGCCAAAATCTGGAGCGTAGAAACTGGAGCAAACCTCAAATCTTTCGCCTGTGTGCACGGCGTTTATGGAGTGGCATTTTCGCCAGACGGCTCTCTCATTGCAGCAGGATTCGGCAATCAGATCAGTGTTTGGGGGAGTGAGTCAGGAGTCGAGCGATATGTGATCAGAGGGCATAAAGAACGTGTGGCCGCGGTTGCCTTCTCACCTCGAGGATGCCTTGCCTCGGGATCTGACGACATGACTATCCGGCTCTGGGACCTGCAAGGCAGCGTGAGCAATGATGCGCATACCCTACTTGAGCCCGTCGGCGAGAAGCCGATCAACGTCATAGCCATGTCTCTTGACGGTCAATTTCTGGCGTCAACTTCTGGCGAAAGCATCCACCTCTGGGATGGGATAACCGGCATGCCGCTGGAACCTCACACGCTTTTGCAGAGTCTCGTACAGTCCATCTCATTCTCCCCCGACGGGAAACGTCTAGTTTCTTCTTCGAAAGATGGAATAGTGAGGGTTTGGGATGTGGTCAGTGGAATCTTATGCCGTACTTTTCAAGGTCACTCCGATTGGGTTAGACATGCGGTCTTCTCTCCTGATGGAACCTCCATTGCCTCAGCATCCGATGATCGCACCGTAAGGATTTGGAGCTGCCCAGAAGAGGGAGAGGAGAATGATGCAAAAGTCCTTCATGATCACAACAGCAAGGTCACTACGGTCGCTTTCTCTCCCAATGGAAGGCTCCTCGTCTCAGGGGATGTGAATTCAAACATGATCATATGGGATCGCAAATCCCTACGACCAAAGCATAAAGTGACTGGACACTCAGGCGGCATCATAAAACTCATTTTCTCGCAGGACTCTTCCCGAATTGTGTCGCGGTCAAACGACTGCAATGTTAGCATCTGGGATTCCAAATCCGGGAATCTCATCCAGGGTCCTATAAAGACCAGAAATCCTCAACATTCGGTTGGGTTCGACCCCAAGATACCGGAATATATCCTGACTGAGTTTGGAGCCAACCCATCTACTCTTGGATCTTCGTCTTTCTTTACTCAACAATCTCTAAAGGGCAAAAGATATGGCATATCTGCAGCCGGTGACTGGATTACATGGAATGGCAGAGAGATCATCCCCATACCAGCGATGTACAAACCCAGGGTCTCGTGGGTGCAGGGCAATATTGTGGCAATCGGAACCAAGTCGGGCAAGGTGTTGTTGTTTCGGTTTTCCACAGAGGTTGAACCGCCAACCTGAGGTGGACACGGGCAAGGCTTCAGGTTTCTTGTATAAGACCATTCAGTCTTACAATGGGTAGGTACTAGGTGGTTTATCTTAAGTTAGTAGGTACTGGTCGAATAATAAGTGTCTTCTCTCCTTGAACGACTCTTTGCTGTGCTTTGGCGTGTCAGCCTGGTCGTTATAAAAGTCAGGCTGCTCTTACCTCTTAATAGCACCAAAGTAATGTAGTCTTTACTGGCAAGTAACGCTGAAAACTACATTCCGACTGCCATTCTTCCTTTCCTATTTGAATGGCAACAAGGCATCTCCCCTGCAAGACTTACCCTCACAGCCACCTCTACAAACCCCAGTCCCCCCTCCAAACATCACACAAAACACCACAAAAGAATCCAAAGCGAAACAGGAACCCCATCAGCAAGCGCCCACCACCCATAGACTAATATCTCACTCTCATCTCGTCCATCGTCATCATCATCACCACTCATTTTCAGGATACAATGTCTATACGACCACTACAATGTAGGCAGCTCTAGGACGAAGCCTACGAAGAGATCCGACAAAGAGATCCATTCCTCTTCACGAGGTACGAATACATACTGAGCCAACGCTTGGCGACCATACAAGACGCTCTGAGCACATCTGCCCCCTACGCAGCAGTCGCTCATGTTTCGAGCTACCGGGACCTGAGATTCGAGCAAATGGGGCATCTATTAGATCATTGGCTCCAAACCACGAAATCCATCAACATAGACCAATGCCAGGCGGTTCTACGGCATTATCTCGAACACTCATGGGAAATGTTGCAATACCCACTGCCTTGGACATGTCTCTGCTATGCTTTACAGGTAACACATCTCCTCCCTCAACCACCAAAGAAGCCAAAAAAAAAAAAAATCCCAAATTCCTTATAAACAAAAGCTAACCTCCTGGGAAATAACACCAACCCGTAGTGCCTCCTAACATGCCATCAATCAAACCCAACTGTCTTCCAATGCCGCCGCCTCCTCGTGACCACAATCAGCAAAATGGGCTACTTCATCCGTCTCTTTCGCATCGTCCCCGACGAGCCCCCTCCCCACAGGGCCCATCTACGCAATATTCTCCGCGGGCTGTACAAAGCCGTTCTGCGATTCGGCATGCTCATCGTCGCCCTGCCGATCATCTGCTACGACGCTCCCACCGCGGAAATTCTCAGGGCCGAATTCAGCAACAGGGAGGTTGACGTCGTGATTTTCGAATCAAACTGGCTCCATCAAACGCTTGAGCGTGCTCTGAATCTCGTCGTGGACTTTAGTGATTACGATGCCGAGGCTTGGTAGAATGGCACGGTGTCCAGTTAGCCTGAGCACGATACTCTCCATCACCCGATCAGTTCAGATCAGTCCACTGGCTCTACTCATGCTGTCAATCGTGGGGAATCTTGGAGCCCCGTGTTGTGCTACATTCACAGATCACGCATTGAAAGCAGATGCAGCGGCACCGTATCGGCGTGATTGAAGCAAAGGCACGATGGGACATGTCCGGGCGGTATATATATAGGCATGCGAAATAATGCCAACTGGGAGGTTCACAGGCGGGAGTTGCCAATCCGATGCCATATACGATGCGCGGCTTTCATCATGCCGGCCTCCATCTTTGGCTATAGCGACTACAATTCTCTCAAGCACCTTCATAGTACAATAGCGACTAAATTGCACTATTCTTCAATGATAAACTTGACGTGTTTTTGGCAACTGAGCCGCATCGAGATCAGCTTCATCTGCTCAACTCCTTACAGTAGCCCCCAGAGCTTTCGTCATTCTACAAATACTTGCACAAATCTCAAACCACTTCCAACACTCGACCGAAGCGGTGGTAACATGGAGTTAATTGCATAGCTTCGCAAATCTCAAACTAATAGCCGTTTAAACCCACTTGTATTTTGCCTCCATCAAGTACAGAGCTCCCTTTTTGCCACCAACCGCGGGGGTATCTAAGCACATAATACTACGCAACATCTTTCTGCCGCGGTAAATTCCTTCACTATCTCAAATCATGGCGTAGGCAATGCACAAACAAATAAACACAACGAGCCTCTTACTCGTAGTCGTCGCTCATGAATCCCAATATGGAAGAGTCGGGGTGAGGGTCGCCGCAGCATGGACAGATCCTATCGTCGTCACTATCCCAGACCGAATCTTCAATCTCATATCCGTTAGTCCGAGAGAATTGGATCCACGTGCGCTTGTCGGATTCGCGGGTAACGGGGACCTTCTTCCAGATGACTCTCTTCTCGTCGCGAGTTGATGGGGGGTGGCCTTCCTCCGAGGGAGCAGCGGGCAGCGTGCCTACCTTGTGATAACCCTCAAAGGAATGCAGATGGAATTGTTCGTCTTCGTCGTCGTCTTCGCCACTCAAGCCAAGGCCTTCTTCCTCCATTTCCTCCTTGAGGTCCTTGTATGCCCTAATCACTCGAGCACACCAGTTGTCTCCCGAAAGGCTTTGCAGACCTCTTGGGTGGGCTATGAAGGTTGCAGATGCATCGAGATAGAGACCTTCGTCCTTCACCAGACCACTGAGCTCGGCGGAGGCCTTCATGCCAACATCGTCAAATGGCATTCCGGTTACTTGCAGTTCATTCAATGTACATCCCAACTCGTGAGAGGCCACTTCGTGGAGCTCAGACCCAGAAAATGGCAGCAGAGAATCTGAAAAATTGACCAAGTCAAGCCGCAGAGAAGACAGGGATGGAAGAAGTCTTGGTCTTGGGTTTTTCTTGTCCCTGTAAGTCGGGTCAAACGGCGCACGAAGAGCCAAGAGGAAATCGATGACCAGGTTCCAGGTGTAGCAGCGAAAGCCACCGCGGACAAGAGGCGACTCCTTTGGGCGCATGTGAATCTTGAGAGGCTGATCCTTCTTCAGGTCTGGGTGATAGTACTTTTCGAGCTTGTGCCTGCGACGCTGGTCATCGTAGTAACGGGCAATGACTCGCATGTTGATATGCAGAATCTTGTGCCGATAGTGGAAACTGAGCTCGCTGAAGTTACGCAGAGCCTGAGGGGTGGTGAAGATGAAGTGATTGGACTCCCAAAGGAACCGAGTGCCTTCGGCATGCATTGCTTTGCAGGTGGCCAGGAAGTGGATGGCAATCTGGTTACCTCTCTTCTTCTCTTCATCCGTAAGATGTTCAGCCGTGACAGCGCTGAGGGGGTCAATGATTGGATACTTGCTCTTCATGGCAAACTTGAGAATCCGCAAGAGGACCTCGGTGGGCAAGAATGGCGAAGCTAATTCACTGGGGCCGGCGGCGGCGATGGAAGATCGAGTCTTGCGCCGCGTGGGATCGTTTTGATTCAGATGGGTCTGCGCCAGTGGCGACCAAGAGATTCCGTTTTCACGAAGGATTCGCTTGAGTCTCATATTCTCCTCGACGAGTATCTGGTTGGTCCGGCGGAGAGGATTATTGTAGGCAGCCCATGCCTGGTCCTCTTTATCGCGGCATTCCCACGGAAACACAAGCTGCGAAGGAGCATGAATATCTGGTCTGCAAAGAGAAAAAATTCCAATCTTACCTGTCCAGTCATCTTGCTGTGAATTCACTTGCTGCAATGGAAATGATAAAATGACGATGAATGGAGATGGGCGTCTAACGGAAGATAACGCAGTGCTGAAACAATTTCCTCAAATCAAATCTCAACAACAGAAAAGCACCTGACACACAAGTCGACTGTAATACGCGGCTGCTGATACGCCGGAATGGGAATAGCCCTCTGGATGGGTTTGGTAACTGACAAACGACACTCGATGAAACGACGACAAAACGAGGAAAGAAGAGTTTGCGAGGTGTGAAGTTGGGGTTGGAGTCGGAGGGAAAGACGAGGGAAGAAATGGCACACAAAGCAAGCAGCCTTGTGCGACTCAATGCCAGCTTGACTTCCCCCCTTCGGTCCAGCACAGTGAATAAAGGGGATGCCGGCTCCCGCAGCTGCTGGACAGGTGGCAGGCAGTAAACGGGAAACGATTGACCGTGATTCACTGATGAGGAAGATGGCTCGCGGGTTGGGCAAGCTGGTAGCAACCAGAGCACTTGGGAGTAGCTGGTCGGCTATTGGGGAGAAATAAAATGGCCAGATTGAGGATGATTCGGCAAATACGCCGAACGGGTAAAAGTCCCAAGTAGACCAGGATGACGAATGTGAAGATGATAAAGAAGACGAAGAAGACGAGGAGGGCAAAGAGGATAAATGGAAAATAGAGAAAAGAACAAATTCACTTGGCTGGCAGTCTGGCCGCACAATCCGAGATGCCGAGGGAAGGAGAAAAGGGTTGGGAGCTGGGCCCAACTCAAGGCAAGAAGGCGAGAAGGAGAGAGCGATAGAGCGATAGAGCAAGCGGACCTGACTCGACGGGCTCCTGCCACGAGATAAGTGGCCGCCACTTCCCCAGTTGTTCGGATTGGCAGCAGGACTTTATCCGCGGTGGCAGTTATTTGCAGGAAGGACAGCAAGTCGTGCCTTCCGCAATCGCTGGTGGGAATGGGAATAACGGCGGGAGAATAGCGCGGGGAATAGAGAAGGAACGGCGTCAGTTACGGCATCCGCGGCGGGCTTTTGGGTTCTTGCCGAAGGTGAAGAGGGCGATATCAGGTGACGGACGGTTCGCCGTCAGCACGGCAGAATCTTGGTATTACGAGGTAATAAGGCAGAGCTGCTGCTAATGGCCGATGGGTGCGGTGGTCCCTGTGAAATTGCTTCAACTGTACATCTCATGTAATCGGGTCTTGTCTTCGAAGGGACATGGCCTAATACTTGATTAATGGACCCCGGGCATTGCCATTCCACAGGTCCGTCGGAGACTAGGTAGGGCAGCCCTCGACTAACCTCAGTACTATAAGTAATTGTCGTTATCGTGGAGACGGCTATCTATCGAGGGTATCTACCAATGCATCATGGGATGCGGCTGGATTCACCTGTCATCACTCCAATTCCAGCTGCCAACGTCTCAGATCCCGATTTCACTCTGTACGGGTAAAGTACAGAATTGGATTGTGTACCTGAATCCCAAACAAACAGGGATGCCGAAGCGAAGAGGGTTACTATATCAGGGGTGGTTCGATCCGGATAATGGGAACCCCCAGGCTCCAGGGTAGACAGCGCCAACCTCGGGACGCCATCGAACGATGAGGGAATGCCGCGAGGTTGGCTTTAACCCAGTGTCCAATGATTGAATGGTTGACTAAAGCGTCATCAGATGACTTGGCTCGATCTTGTTTAAAGTTGCTCTGCTGCTTAGACATACAGTGTTGTGGCCAAAACACCACCTTCCTGACGTCATGATTCAGCACATCTCTCCCAGCCATCGCCCCTTGCTTTCGATTTTACGTACCTATGATGGATGTGGTGTATCATAGATCTTGTGCATGTTCCCAACAGTCGACTTATATAAAGTGTGTCCATGTAAGAGGAAAGTTCAAATACATTCAAACAACCCAACTACTATACTCTCATCTCCCCATCATTGTATACACTTAATATCCATCAATTATTTCCACAACATGTCTACCGCTAGCGCAACTCTCGGCGACAAGCCTGCCGACCCGTACACCAAGGTCAACAAAGATGAAGCCGACTTACAAACCAAGGTGACGGATCTCGTTGATTTCATCACCACCTGCAAATTCGGCATGATGACCACGATTGAGGCGTCGTCGCAGAACAACCTAGTTTCTCGCTGCATGGGCCTCGCTGCGACGGTAAGTGGAGGCAGACCCCTTTCCGCCACATGCTTAAAGACAAACTAACCTCTATAAATAGGAATCCGGGGGCATCGACCTCCTCTTCCACACGAATACCGAATCCGGAAAAACTCACGATTTGTCCAATGACCCCCACGTCAATGTATCCTTCATCAATAGCTCTGGCGAGTGGGCGTCCATCTCAGGCAAGGCAAGCCTGGTGACGGATCGCGAGCTGGTCAAGTCGACTTACAGCAGCGGACTGAAGGCGTGGCTGGGCGACCTTGGTGATGGAGTTCATGATGGGTCGGAGAATGATCCTCGCATTGGCATTATCCGTGTCAAGACGACCACCGTGACATACTCGCTGCAGACGGGCAACTTCATCAGCCGTGCTGCTGAAGTCGCCCAAGGAGTGATCACTGGAAAGCCCGCCCATGTGAATAAGTTGCGGGAGATTTCGGTCGAGGAAGTCAGCAACTGGCGTGCTTCAAATGTCTGATGATTTTAAAAAGTGTGAAAACTGGAAAAAACAAAGGGGGAGGAATTACATGTACTCAAGGTTGTTCATGAATTAACGTGATATCTCATAATTATACCTGTATCGTGTATCTCACTGCTTTCCGTACTCCTCCTGCCATATCCTGTTCCACTTCTCCTTGTCCACAGCGAATTCACGCACGAAATCACGCTCAAGCTCGTGAGCCCTCCTGCCCAGCAGGACAAGGCTGTGCAGAGGCGGTCCCAGTTCCTCATCCGCGGAGCACAGCTCCTCGAGTGTTCCTGCGACGAACTTTTCCGTCTTGCCTCCAACTCGAGCAGCACCAATAGCCAAGCTGTCCTTGGTGTAGACGCCTTCCTTGCGTTCCTCTTCGATCTCGAGCATCTGCTGCGCGCACTGTCCAACGGTCATGTATCGCGGAGGCTCGTAGATTAGTCGGCCTCGGGCCATATTCTCCAGGCTCTGCTCCTTGACTTTGATGTCGACGAGAACCAATGTATGCAGACCAATCTCGCGGTTCTCCTTTATCCTGTCGTAGAATGAAGAGGGCTTCCAGTTATCGGTGAAAAAGACCATGGAGACGGTCTGTCCGAAGTTGTACAGCTGAAGGCCGCAGGCTCCAATGCCGGACATGATGGAGGCGTTCGGCACGGTTCGCACAGGAATAGATAGTTCGCGAGCTCGGATAACGAGGTCGGTGTGTGTCGTAGCTCTAAACATATACTGTCAGTCAAAGGTCATGGACATGGTCGAGGTAGAACCAACCCAAAGGGGTCTCCAACAACGCAAAAGGCAACATCCTCGGTTTGCGCATCTCTGAGAATCTCGTCGCTGTTTGACTCGACCATCTCACGGTCGGCAATGATTATCGGTCGTCCATAGTAGTTTTCCTACTTTGAGAGTCAGCGTTAGCTGTTTTCCCCCATCCAAACATGCCGTGTCTGCATACCAGGATGGACTGGTCCACGAGCAGAATGCTTGTGTAAGCCTCCAGGTAGACGCGCGAGGCCTTCTTGACCACCTCGAGGCCCTTGACGGTGATGTCCGTCTCGTCAGAGAGACCCAAGCCAACGAGGTACAGCATATTGGCTCGATTGACACATGCAGATTGTTTGTATGTATGAATTGGAAAAAGTCCTTCTCGGAGCTGCCCCGCGGTGGGGTTGGCAATTTCTTATCTTAGCGCCGGTTGACCCTTGTCTGCCGCTTATGCCAAAAGCTTTCGGCGATTTTGGTGTCGCGTCTAAATCTGCCCGTTTCTAAGCCGCTTCTTTTCCCTTACACCGATTTCCAACGACGCAATTCACCAGCCGACATGCCCGATTCAAAGAACAAAAGCGCCTACGGGGTGGCAGCAGGGGATACTGATTTCCGGAAGAATTGGGATCTCGACGAATATGCAGCCAAAGCCAAGGAACGCGAGGCCAAGGAGAGGGAGGAGGGCAAGGCGCGTTACGAGGCGAAGCTGGCTGGCAAGAAGTACCACAAGCCCATGACGGGCAATGAGACGTATACATCGGCGCGGAGAAACATCATCGACGTGAGCGCACAAATTGGAAAGACGCAGTTGGTGCCCGCGGGAACGGGCGTTGGAAAACGAGGCAAAGGCGCTGGTTTCTACTGTGAGGCCTGTGATCTTACATTCAAGGACAACCTACAATGGGTCGAGGTATGCATATGCATCCGATGGTGGAGTTTCGCTGTCATAAGAGACTAATAAAGTACGTGTAGCACTTGAATACGACGCAGCATCTGCTCAACACGGGCCAGACAACCGAAGTCAAGCGAGCGACCGTCGAGGAAGTGCACGACCGAATCGAGTTCTACGTCCGTCGGAAAGAAGATCTCGAGAAGGAAAAAGCCACAAGTCTTCACGATAGGCTGCAACTAAGAGAGGAAGAGATGCAGAAGGAGGCGGAGGAGAAGAGGAAGAAGCGTAAAGAGGAAACCGAGAAGAAGCGCCAGGAGAAGGAGCAGGCGGCCAAGGTCAAGACGGAGTATGGCGAAGATGTGCGGATTGAAGGAGAGCATGACGAGGACGACATGATGGCACAGATGGGATTTACCGGGTTTGGATCGTCGAAGAAGTGATTTGTGATGGAGATGGAGGAGTGATGACTTAATGATACCCTGACTGGAGGCGATTTGAAGACTCAATGTAGCTGGAACAAAGCAGCATGCGGACGACGGAATGTAACGGAACATTGAATGAGCGGTATATATACTTGTACATATTCAAGCAAGGTACCTAATAATGATAAAGAACTAAGTACCTAGTATGAAAGCAATCTGCACATTAGCAGCAAATCTCCAAATCCCCGTTGGCCATCCAGGTTCAATTGCTCGGGGTCGTGTGCCACCCAGCTGGTGCCGGAATAGCGGACCTCGAGCCCCGCTGCCCCCAAAAAGCCCCCCATCCATGATATGTACCTGCCCAGGCCATTTCGTCCGTATCAAGCGCGCTTAACACCGTCTCTCCCTCTCTCTTACACATTGGGCATTCCCACGATACTGCAATTCCCCCCCGTCTGAGCCAACTCACGCCAGGGCATCACGTAAAAACTCCATTCTATCCGAATCCATTCGAGCGTCTCCAACCTTCCTCGTCACAGCCATGGCTTCAGCTGGTGCCGCCGCCGCGTCGCTGCTGAGGCGACAGCTCAAGGAAATGCAGACGGGCAAGGACCTGCCGGGCATCTCGTGCGGCCTCGTCAACGACAACAACATGTTTGAGTGGGAAGTCATGCTCATGATCAACGACGACTGCAAATACTACGGCGGTGCGTGTTTTCTTTCTTTCTCTTACTCTTACTCTTACTCTCCGGCGTTTCTGTAAACCGCGGTTCGGGAAAGCTGATTTGTAACTGTCTGTTTTGTCTAGGAGGCAACTTTCGTGCTCGACTTGCCTTTCCCGAAAACTATCCTCACATGCCGCCCTCGCTCACGTTCCAGGACCCGATCCCCTTTCATCCAAACATTTACGAGAATGGCAAGCTGTGCATTTCCATCTTGCATCCTCCCGAGGAGGACCAGTACGGCTACGAATCTGCGTCTGAGCGGTGGAGTCCCGTGCAGACCCCCGAGACGATCCTGCTCAGCATAATCAGCTTGTTCTATAGCCCGAACGAGGAGAGCCCTGCGAACGTCGAGGCGGCGAGGATGCTGCGTGAGGAGAAGGAGGGCATGCACAAGGACTATCGGAAACGGTGTCGGAAGTGCGTGAGGGAGAGTCTGGGCGAGGACTAGAGGCGCTGGGAGTATACATGAGAGCTAAGGTGCGTGTGTGTAATGGTGCGGTGGGTTTCTGTTCCTCTTTTATTAATATTAAAAGTGTGGATGGCGTTTATCAAGGACTGGGGTGTCCTGATTGTTTGCATTGTTTGGCGTCTTGGGGGTGCGGGTATCCCCTTCGGAGCCTGGGCAGAGCTTCACTCATTGATGGCGAGATAGCATTAGTATGACACGATGGAATTTTTAATTTTGTCAATAGTGGCAGCAAATACAAATGCATCACGCCCATGTCGGAACTGGCAGGTAAATAAGTTTTCATTTTCATCAAGACAGTCCCATGTCTACTTGGCTACCCCTATCAATGGCCCCACGACACTGTCCCATTTTTCGTCCCAACGCCGTGAGCCTTCCTCAATGGCACCTCTCCTCAAATGGGCCAGCTCTTGTGCACCCTCGAGGCTCAACAGCCGCTTCAAAATCTCGGTGAGCTGGGGCACCGTCTCAAAGCCACATCCGTTCTGCCCCTCCTTTACCAGCTCCCCAATGCTCTCAAACCCGGCATACGCAGCTACGGGAAGTCCTGCCCCAAACATGTCCACCACCTTCATTGGTAAATCGACTCCAGAGCTTGATTTATGGAGAGAGATGCCAAGATCAGCAGAGGCGAGAAGTGAGGCGTAGTCACGATTAGAAAGCCAGGCACTGAGAATTCGAATACCGGGAAGTTTGCCACCATCTTGGAGTTCCTTGATCTTTTCAAGGTAGGCTTCCTTTTGGGGGCCTTTACCAGTGATGATGGCCAAGATGGGAGGGACATCTTCCTGGTCTGAGGAAGGCGTAGCGTAGGCGACCAAAGCATCAAGCAGCATGCCAAAGTCTTCGTCTGCCGTCCAGGAGGTGCTGCTTACGACCAGGCGGAGAGATCCATCGACGATATTCTTGGCATGGCTCTTGGTCTCTGCAAGGCGAGACAGAAACTCCAATCGTGCTGTTGGAGCGATGATGGGCTGGAAGATTTCGGCTGGCCGGTCGTGAAGTGTGTAGACGGGGTTCCTGAGGTTAAATCGGCCGCCGGCTTGAAGTTGCTTCGCCATGGCGTCTGTGACTGCGAGGTTCGCATTTCCTAGATATTTGCCTAGTCTGATCTCGTAAAACTTGTAGAAAGGCACAAAGATTCGGAGGAGAGACTTTTGCGCAAGGATAGTGTGGCCGTAGTTGTGCCAGTCGACGATGACTTTGCTACCACGAAGCCAGGAAACAAGTAGAGCCACGTGAAACGTGGGGATGGAAGGGGGATTCTACAAGCTTATTAGAATGAATTCCTTGAAGCCAGATATATTTGTGGTCTAGAGATGGTTATGGTTACCTGAATGATGATCCATTGAGCCGGGGGAGCGGTGTACATGAGCGTTACGAATAAGGTCCAGAACTGCTGAATGACCTTGCAGGGGATGTTGAGAAAAAAGGGAAGCGTTTCCCATGCAATCCATTCCGGCGGAGGAGCGAGAGGATAGACAGTGACGTTGGGGTTGCCGATGAGATCAGGATGCCTGGCCGTCTCTACGAACCCAGAATGAGTACTTGTATGATGGCGTAAGGCTTGAATTGCGTACCTTTATATCCAACAATGTCAACTTTTCTTCCGTGCTTTGCAACGCTAAGAGCATGATACTGCATCCGTGGGCTTCTGCCAATATCGCCCACCACTAGAATTTGGATGTGCTCATCCTCTGGCTTCTCGGCGGGCTGATAGCGGGTGGGTATGATATCAAGAGACCTCTTGGCCAGCCACACGACGAAGCCCCAAACGCGGCCCAGGGCAATGACGGACAAGCCACCGATGATTGCAGATATTGCAAATGAGATGTAGTAGGCGGTGGACATATTGGGCAAACCGGTCCTTGGAGAGGTATGTGGTTGGCGTTTAGAGCGCTGGGCTAGAGAGGCAGTGACAGCTGTCCAGTCTCACAGGGATGGCTTCTGGCAAAGCTCCCTCTGCCCTCACTGGTAAGACGCTTCGATGCAAAAGGGGGGATTATGAGGCTTTACAGAATGCTGCATGAGGACAAGGCGTTATTTCGAGCTCATTTACCTGGTGGTTGGCGTCGCAAACGAGCTGCTGATATGCGATTCGAGTTGTTTGCACCGCCTCAAGAAGCTCATTGCCAAGCTGTATAGTAGTTTGATAACGCCATTGGGGACTTTTGGACTGTGGCGCACGGAGGTGCTGTGGCTGGTGAGGAGACTGACTGTCGTCATTTTTGCGAGTCCCTGAATGTGATAAGCGCCACATGCAATGGAGATCGTGGGGACGGCTCAAAGGGCCAATCAGTGCCTTCGAGATGCAAGACATTGGGTACTACCTTGTGCTATTACCTAGATACGTGGGCATGCCGTGAGATCTTGGTAGATTTGTGCTGCCCGGCAGTTGGCAGTAGTAAGATTGGATTGGCACTGCCCAGATGCTGTTATACCCGCGTTGAATCGAGTATCTGTGCGCGTGTGGACGGAGTATGTATGCATGCACATTGACGGCGGTTGGTTTTATGACACTACTGCCACTAGACAATTTGATAACTCACCTGGTAATCATTGCTCTCAATCACGAGGCACGAATTAGGTTTCAACCAGCTCCGTTAGGCTGGGACTAACTGAGAGATTCCGTCCTTTTACCTTCCCCTTTTGACGTCCCCGTTATCGCTTAGACTGTCGTCTTGCATCGTCGATCTGCTGTACGTTGATTTGTAGGAATTGATGTCCATATGTTTCCCAATACAGCAGCATGCTCATAATCCATCTTGATACCGTTTGTGCATTGCGTAATTCATTTCCACACATGCCGTTTGTTGAAACATTTCCAGACTGTTCCATCGCGTCACCGTGCCTGTAGCAACTTGGCAATCTCATTACATCGCATCTCACCTCATCTGTCTCACCCGTTGGTGTATCAATGAATCAATCAATATTATTAACCGCCCAGGTACCATCACTTATGTAGGTACCTGTAGTACCTAGCACCAACAGCCCGCGGGCATTGCTGGTACCTGGCCCGCTAATCGCGCTGATAAACAGCGCCCACACACACTAACGCCATCACTGGCCACAGCGGGACGAGACCCCCAAAAAGCGCCTCCACGTGCCCCGCACCCTCCTAAAGTCGGTCACTCTGGTGCTCGAGTAGCGCCAGTTGCAGGACCTGATTTTCCATCAATTTTTCTCCAGGTTGAGGTCCTGTTGTCGTCGGGTCTGTGCTTGTTCCCCTATTTGGCCTGCCCAGCTTGGCTCCATCTGCCCAGTCTGTCTCCTTCGACAAACCCAAGCTGGGGGGAGGGGGACTTGCAATCTCCAATCCGTCAACCTCGCACCTCCACTCGTGTCCATTCGATTCCCCGAGTCCGCCTGTGTCGCGCCAATTGCGTTGTCGGGCATCGTGCAGACGCTTGATGCGGGTGTTTGCCGTCCGCGAGACGCATCTCTCGTAGCGACTGGACGCGATTGTCCGCGGCTGAGGCCCACGAGCAGGATCCAAGTTGCTCGGCTCCGACGACCTCGAAAGGGCCTGTCTTTTTTTTTTTTTTTTCTTTTTGCCGACGATCGATCGACCTCCACACGATGGAAGCCTCGTATTCCCTGCCGTCGTCGGCATTGCCGCACGCTCACCGGGTTCACACTCAGTCCCAGCCGGCATCGCTCAACACATGGCGAATGACGGTGTCAAGCGAGAGTCTGCCCTCTGCGCTGGAAGACGACGAGGACGAAGATCACGATCACAATCACGATCGCGATCCTGACCATGACCATGACCATGACCATGATCACGACCACAATTACGACCACAGCCGCTCCCATTCCCACTCCAACCCGCGCTCGCAGGCGTATTCCATCCCGCCGCCACTGCCCTCTCCCTCGCACTTGCACGCGCACTCCTTCAGCTTCCCACGCCATGGCCGCAGCGGCTCGCAAACTTCCAATGCGAGCTCCTCCGAGAAGCCGTCAATAGGGGGCGCAGGAAGCTGGTCTCAGGCGAGGAGGAACCGCTATACACCAGAAGTCATTGACGAATCTGCTCACGACCATGACCATGACCACAATCATGACCACAGCCACAGCCACAGCCACTCCCACTCTCATTCTAATGGCCATAGTCACGACCATAGTCACAGTCACCACCATGGCCATGACCACACCCACGAGCGGTCTCTCTTCACAAGAACAATCCTCCCCTACACGGTTGGATGGCCCATTCTTTATTCCATAATAGCTGAGAAAGACTCGAGGCGGATATTCTACTTTATGTCGTATGTTTGCACTTAAAGTTCAGCAGGTGATGGTGACTAATAACGTGATGCAGGCTCAACTTTGGTTTCATGATCATCCAGGCCTTCTATGGCTACGTAACCGACTCGCTGGGCCTTCTCAGCGATAGTATCCACATGTTCTTCGACTGTGTTGCCCTGCTCGTAGGATTGCTAGCAGCTGTCATGAGCAAGTGGCCGAAGAGCCAGCGGTTCCCATACGGCTTCGGAAAGGTCGAAACGCTGAGCGGATTCGCCAATGGCATTCTGTTAATGTATGTACTCATCACATGGCCCACGATGCGCCAATCGTTATGATTCTGACCCAACTGTTTGGTCTAGGCTCCTCAGTGTTGAAATTGCGTTCGAGGCATTCGAGCGATTGTGGGAGGGAACGCAGACAAAGCGGCTGGGCGAGCTCTTCGTTGTCAGCAGCCTTGGCTTGGCCGTGAATTTGGTTGGCATGATGGCGTTTGGACATCACCACCACGGCCACGACCATGGACATGGGCATAGCCATGGGCATTCTCACGGCGAGCACGACCATGGATGCAGCTCACACTCGGGCCATAACCATAACCACGGCCACGGCCATGACCATGATAATGAAAATATGCGCGGCATCTACCTGCATGTTTTGGCAGACACCTTGGGCAGTGTCTCAGTCATTGTATCTACAGTTTTGACGAGCTTCTGGGGCTGGGCCGGGTGGGATCCGCTGGCTTCGTGCTTCATTGCTGGTCTCATCTTTCTATCTGCACAGCCACTCGTGTTTTCAGCAGCGAAGCGTCTACTTTTGACCGTTCCCGAGGGTGTCGAGTACAACCTGCGGAACATTCTTGCCGGCATTGGACAACAGCGAGGCGTTGTGAGCTACGCGACTCCGAAATTTTGGATGGATGATCATGGAGGCAATCAGTTATTGGGCGTTGTTCATGTCACGGTGGCCCGTGGCGCTGCCCTGGAGGAGACCAAAGACCGTGTTCGAGAGTATCTGCTCAAGGAGGGCATTGATGCCGTTATACAAGTGGAAAGAGATGGAGATAATGGATGCTGGTGTACTCGCGGACGAGCTCCGACCAACCCGCCGCAGATGTCCAAGCAGTTTTAGGAGACGAGGGCCGTGTCATGCATACAACAACGGGGGCAAAGACAATTAAATGGTTGGACAAGTGGCGAACAAGATGAATAATTGATTGCTTAGTTGATGCATTTACACAGCGATGGAGCATCTATAGCGCAACTTGTCTGCTTCTTGGGTGGATGAGATGGACCGGCTGCATCTATATAGCGATTGAAGCGGGATGCTTGGCGTAAGGGTGTGAGTTACGGGTTTTGCTTAGAGTTTAGGATATGTTCGCGTCTATAATTGGTTCCTGATTGCATATACCAGAATTGCCTAGATACATGATGGAGATCTTTTCCCTCCAGAGGTTGAAGGAACATGAATGTGCCAGTTATTAAGCTTGACAGGTGTGATTAGGTAGTCCGGAGCTGTAACTACATGCTCTAGTCGGAAGCTGTGATGTAAGCACAGGATCCGTGATTCATGGAGGGGTAGGAGGGGTAGAGCGTGAAAGAGGCAATATTCCAAGGCTAGACATCTTTCACCTTCCAACGCAGCGAAACATCTGCGTCTCGTGTATGAGGCGAGTGTCTTGAACAAATGAGTATGGCAATGTATCCTCTTCCTAAAAATAGCGCCCGGCTAATACTACATGTACATTAACCAGCTTCCATTGACAAGGTATGGATGGCGTCTGCCTGGTCCAGAGATGATCCGGTCAAGGCTAAACGAGGCGACGCAACTTATAGACAGGCTGTCAGCTATGCGGCGTTACATTCAACATTAATCGCATCAGGACTCGCAGTGAGCCTCGCAGCTCTGCGTGGGGAAATTCTTACACCAGCAAGCACAACAGCCGGGAATGGGTTGCGCTGTCTGGTGGCGATGCGCAGGAATGCCCAGATGGTAGTTGTGCTTCCGTCTATCGGGGGAGACCGCCTGGAGAGCTGAAGTTTTGCTTGCGCTTGTATGAGGACGACCCAGACGATGCTTCGTATGTGTATGAGAGCGACGAGGACGATGAACCTTTGGAGTACGACTCGAATGCCGAGGACGATGACCGCGATGAGGTGACCGGGGAAGAGAATGAGATGACCTCATCTCATTCTCAAGAATCGGATGCGGAGGAAGAGTATAAGTGGTTTTTCAACCCTAGTGGGCTCGATCCCCAGCCAGAGTACGATACCGAGTTCCTCCCGCTCTCTGCGCCATACGACGACGAAGGCGGGGCGGAAGACGAAGATATAGGAGTTGATCATCATATCATGGCGCTCCCAACAGCCCGCAGATACGAACACGTCGCTGGCCCGGGCTGCTGTAACCTTCGAGGCTATCACGGGGATAGGATTACTCTCGAGGAGATGATAGATTGCCATACGGTGCAGGGGCTTTACAAGAAGACGAGCGATTGGACGCCGAGTGACGATGACATGGATTTTGAGAGAGAATCAAAGAATTATCATCTTACGGGGCTATCGGACTGTATGCCTCCGAACGGAGGAGATGTGAAGTGCGCACCGATTCGTGGTGGAGCAGATTGGTTCCATGCGTCCAACCTCAGCGACACATGGAAAGATGTATGTGACTGAGACACATGAGAGAGACTTGCTACCGTGCTAATGATAGCTATCAGCTCTTTGGATGGGGAACTTATGTCCTACCATTTCACCCTACCTGCTTTGAGATATTCATCAGAATAAGCAAGCGGCAGATGGGAAGAGTTAGCCTCGACTCATTGATGAAGCTCGAGAGTACCGCCTCCCGTAGCATGTTTGGTGAGCGGCATCCCGACATTGTGGATGCGAGAAACAAGGGCTGGAAGTGGTCTTGTTTGCTTGGCACGGAGTATCTTGCGGCCAATCCCGTCTTCATCTCCGGCTTCAGGGAAATTTGCGACGCAGCCATCTTTGACACGGAGGATTTTGATAGCCGAAGCAGCCCGTTTCCAGAGCGAGCTGAGAAGCGAGATGTTTCCGCAGTGCCAGACGACCCGTTTTTGAAGCTGCCAACAGAGCTTAAGCATACGATTGCTTGGCATCTCGGCTCAAAGGATATAGCATCGCTGCGAATGGCGTCTCGGGCATTCTGTCATCTCCCCATGACTTTATGGCATACGTTAATGGTCCGAGAGATGCCGTGGGTGTACGAAGCTTGGTGCGACGACCCTACGCCCTACCCATGGGCCATGGCAGACGCCTCTTACTTGAAGCAGATGCGGGAGCGGGAGGAAGCGTACACGGCCGAGCGAACCCGCCGAGCAGATGTTTTAAAGGCCAACGAGCCTGATTTCTATCCCATCTGGGAAGAGAACGAGCCCAAGTCTCCGCCGCTGTCGCCTGAATTGGAAGCTCAGACAAGGCTGTTTGGGGAAAAGAAGCGAGCTATGGCGCCCGTGAGACTACCGCGTGATAGGACGAATTGGTATCAGCTGTATACGGACATTAAAGCAAACGAGGACAAGTTGAAGGGACTGCGCAACAGGAAGAGGATATGGGCGACTGTGGGCGAAATTGTGCAGAATGTTAAGAAATGCTGGGAGGCGGAGTCGGTTGAGATTAACACGCCGTTTGCTATAATGGAGGTTGATGGCTGAAATATTATACATCTTTAGAAGTGGATTACTACATACATTATAGAGGCTAGCTATCTGGTTTCCAACTTGATGGTTATGACAGCGCACCTATAGCTCGTGGGGGAAGAATGGGAAGCATTGTTAGAGTCGTCATTGTATTTTGGCCTGACATGTGATTGCGCGCCGTGAGAATGACGAACGTGGGGTTGATGAAAAAGATTCCCCGCTCTTTACCTTTTTTTTACCCCACGGGCAGTGGCTTTCGACCGGTGCCGAAGGTTACCAGGTACATGTACATTGTCATGGTCATTGCCGGCCTCCATCATCGGAGGCGATTTACCGAAATCCAGTTCGATGGAAATTACAGCGCAAATTCCGGTCGAATTTTGTTTTTTTCGGTTGTCAGTTTCTTCATTAGTACGTGGACTCGGGTTTCCTTCTTTCCCCCGACAGTGCCGTCACGCGGGGCATGGCTATTGCGCTTTTGACCCGGCCGACGGACGGAGCAGCGAGCCGAGGTTCGAGGGCGGGACCCCGGCTGCGGTTGAGCTTTTGGCTTTTGTTGTGCTTGTACGGCAGTGTAGTGGTGATATGCATTAAGAGGGTATGGTATATGTTGGTGGGGTGAAGCCAGATTGGAAGTTGTATTATCTGCCATGGACATCAAATGGCATTTTTTTGGTAGGTTTTGGGAATAAAGGTAATGTTCCAATGACATGTGCAAATCGGACTATATAGGTGCTTTTCTGCTACCCAACGAGGTTCGGTCCACCAAGCATAATCACAAGCTTCTCCCACGGAGCAAAGTAGGAAGAAAGAGGGAGAAAACCAAGAGAGGAGGATCTAAAACCCGCAGTCATATGGCAACCATCACGCGGGCTTTTATATCTCAGCCTTAGTACTAAGCTGCCCCGTGAATCATCAGCCTTGGGTTTGTAATGCATCCCGTCGTCCGAACTCGTTCCTTGTCTCCGTCCTCCAACCCACACACAAAACAAAAGCCTTGTGTCATTTTAGTCTAGTACACCCTTGACAGCTGAAAAATGCTACATGCCATCTGGGCCGTCGAGATGCGGCCGCCACAAGTACCTGCGCTAAAGTTGCACGCGCTAAAATCAGACGCCAGCCATGTACATGTACCTCTTTACCTTTTTTGATGTTCGGGCTATGTGCATATTAGAAGCAACTCGTCGTTCATCTTTGCTTCTCCTCCAAACCTCCTCCTCCTCCTCTTCCTTTTCCACATCGTCTCTAATATTCTGCTCTTCCTCTCCTCTCTCATTTCTTTCTTTCTTTGCTGCAATTCTCTACTCACAATCCTCCCCCTTCCCCCCGCGGCCATAATAATGTCTTCCTCAAGCTCCTCCTCCCCAGCCGAGGCAGTCTCCTCCATCGCCGACAAGATCCCCTCGCCCCAAGAGGCCAAAGAGACCGCCCAGGCCGCCGCGCCCGCCGCCCAGTCCGCTCTCCTGTCCCAGCTGCGCGCCCTTGCCGCGGGCGGCTTCGGAGGCATCTGCGCCGTCGTCGTCGGCCACCCGTTCGACCTGGTCAAGGTGCGCCTGCAGACGGCCGAGCGCGGCGTCTACTCGAGCGCCATTGATGTGGTGCGCAAGTCGGTCGCAAGGGATGGACTGAGAAGGGGGTTGTATGCGGGTGTCAGTGCGCCGCTGGTTGGCGTTACGCCCATGTGTATGTTCTTTTTTTGCTTTCTATTTCCCTTGCTTAACCTTGATGTTTTGTCTTGGGGGTTTTCTTTTCTTTTTTTGCCGAACCTCGGCACAAGTTTGTGGGTGAGAACATGTGTGAGCTGACGGGTGCAAAACCACAGTCGCCGTCTCCTTCTGGGGCTACGATCTCGGCAAGCAAATCGTCGGCGGCGTCTCGACCGTTGGGCCCGACGGCCTGTCCACCGGCCAGCTCGCCGCCGCCGGCTTCCTCTCCGCCATCCCCATGACCGCCATCACCGCCCCCTTTGAGCGCGTCAAGGTCATCCTGCAGGTCCAGGGCCAGAAGCAGCTCGCGCCCGGCGAGAAGCCAAAGTACAGCGGCGGCCTCGACGTCGTGCGCCAGCTCTACCGCGAGGGCGGCCTGCGCTCCGTCTTCCGCGGCAGCGTCGCCACCCTCGCCCGCGACGGGCCCGGAAGCGCCGCCTACTTCGCCGCCTACGAGGTCATCAAGAAGAGCCTCAGCCCCAAGGATCCCGTCACCGGGAAGCCCACCGGCCAGCTGAGCCTGACGGCCGTGACGTGCGCCGGTGCCGGCGCCGGCGTGGCCATGTGGATCCCCGTCTTCCCTGTCGATACCGTCAAGTCTCGCCTTCAGACCGCCGAGGGCAATGTCACCATCGGAGGCGTCATCCGCGAGCTCTACGGCAAGGGCGGCTACAAGGCGTTTTTCCCTGGTTTCGGTCCTGCGCTGACTCGTGCTGTCCCGGCCAACGCGGCGACCTTTTTGGGCGTGGAGCTGGCGCACCAGGCCATGAACAAGATGTTTGGATCGAAATAATGATGAACTATGATTCATTTTGAGACTTGTTTTTTTTCTGCGATATCATTGGCAGTGTTTTGTAGTTTTGCGTATAAAGGGAATTTTTTGGGTTTTCGGGAGGACAAGAAAAGTATATAGGGGAGAACGATGGGAGAGGGAGGCATCAAGACAATACCCTCATGATTGTTTTGGATTATTATCTTCTCCTGCATGACGGAGTCGTGGAAAAGGGATTTAGACGGCGGTGTTAACTGTACTCGCCCCGTAGATTAGATGCCCTTTGCCGTCTGTTTTTCTGTTGACGCAAGGGCTATACATCATCACCTTTTCAAATCAATAAATAAATAAATAAAATAAAATAAATAAATGAAAAAAAGTAATTCCAAGATTAGCTTGTGAACCATGAAAAAAAAAAGTGGCACGTTCATTCTGTCTGTCTGAAAATCTATAACCAAGCCCGTATACAAAAAACCCAAACCCAAAAAGAAAAGGAACAAATTTCCAGAACCCCAAACTAAACCCAAAAGCTCCCGTTATTTTGCTTAAAAAGGGGGGAAAAATTCACCAAGATATATATAAACCACAAAAGCCAAAGATTGAGCAAATAAAGATCCCATCGCTCATACCGCCCCGAGTTTTCGCCCTGCTATTGTTGTACAAAATCCGAATTCGACTCAATGGGGGAAATATCCTTCCATTCTTTTTCGGAATTCCTTTTTGGACCCCGTTTTGATGCTTCGTTTGCGCCGACTTCATTCCAAATCACAATTTTCCATGAGTGAGTTCCAAATACGAGTCAAAACCGTCCCCAACGATAAAACCAAAAAAATCAAAATCAAAAAAAAAAAAATCAATCTCCTTTTCAAAGAAAGGGGGAGTGGGAGGGAGAGAATCACCAAGCCCTCTCATTCACAGTCCACCTCCTCTTTGACTGGCTCAAATCCCTAAGCCTATCCGCTTCGCTCGGCGGCATGGCCAAGGTCCAGAGTCCGCCCAGTCCCGACAAGGGCATTTCATCCCCGGCATCTTCAAACGACACGTCTGCGTTGAGTTTGATGGGAGCAGAGAAAACCGGCCCCTTGGGAGACGTGGGGAGCTGAATGGCGGGAGCCAGAGTTGGAAACGGCTCCAACGGTTTGGCCTCCTGCGATGGCTTGATGTTTTCGACAGAAATGGGCCTGAATCGCTTGTTGTCAAAGTCGGGAAGTATGCTGTCGTAGTCGTCCACTGCCTCCTCGTCGACATCGTCAATCAGACGCAAAGAAGAGCGCGCGGGTGCCCACAGCCCTGACCCTGAAGATGGAGCCCGCCGATGTCCGGTGGTGTAGCTGTTGGCTTCAATCTCATAGCCCGCGCTCACAGGCGGTGCCGCCCTGGGGGATCGCCGGCTGGAGCTTGAATCCCGTCGAGAAAAGGGGCCAACTGACGGGTTTGCGGACGTGCTTCGAGTGCTCGCCGTCGAGAGCGGCTCGAGGAACGAAAGGGGGTTTTGCACGGGTCCATCCACAGTGGGCGAGGTGGGCAATGTTGAGTTGCGGCCACGAAGGCCAGAAGGGCTCCAGGTGTTCCGGGGAGATGCGGGCCTTGCGGTGACGGATGCGCCAGAGTTGGAGCGCAAGTGCTCTGTGCTTGCAGAGAGGCGAATCTCGTACAAGTCATCAACAGAAGCCTGGGGGGTCGCAGAGTTGCTGCTGCTTTGGTGCCCTGAGGAAATGGCAAGCGCTTTGGCATAGTCGGCATCCGGCCTTCTAACAGCTGCCGTAATGGAGGCAATGCCAACATCCATGAGAACAGGCTTGTGAGTAATGGCCCCGATCAAGGCGTTGCAGCCGGCACCATGAGACACGATGATGACAACCGTCTCAACCTCCTCCTCCTCCTCTTCGCCATAGCCGCTGTCGCTGCAGCTGTGGTCATTTTCGGTGCTGACAGGCGCGCACAGCAGCTCGTCGGGAGAGTCCGTAGTCGCATACCAGTTGACCATTCGCTTCAGCCCTGAGCGGAAGCGCTGGTGCATCGACTTCCACTCCTCGGGCAGCTTTCCGCCGTCGCCAAAGTCCAGCGGCGCCCTCATTGAGTCCCACTGATAGTCAATGACGACGCACGAGTCCCTAGCATGGGCGACAAATCCATCGGGTATCTTGCCGTTGCTCGAGATGGCATGCAATGGCCGCGGAGGCTGATAACCTTTCTTCTGCTCCTGGGATGCCGATGAGAGAGCCGCAACCATGGCGGAGGAGCTGAAAACACTACCCTGGCCTAATCCAGATGCGGGCTGTTGCGAGGGAGACGCCGCCACTGGCGAACTCCAGAGGGCGCCATTCGACGCCGGCTGAATGGTACTGGGCAAGGGCACGCCCGCGTAGATGCTGTAATCTTCGCGTCGCAACAAATCAGCCTTTGCGCTGCCCATCATAAGGGCCGGACCCGGAGGAGGCGTGATCATCTCAAAGTACTCTGGCGACAGCCACTCGCCCAGAAACGTGTCGAGCCGTAACAGGGCGGGCTTGTGCGGGCTCTGCTGCCCAATCGGGGCCTTGCGCGGGACGATGACATCGGACGGCTGGTATATGGATTCGGAGGCTGTCTGGGCGAGGCCGGAGCTGATGCCGACGGACGTCTGGACACACCGCAGAAAGGGAGAGCTGTGGATGACGACTCTGAAGCGCCGGCGCTTCCCGGTCAAGGAGGCGCCGTTGTTTGCGACCTCGGCCTCGACCTTGGCCTGCTCCAGAATGCTGGCAATCTGGTTGCCAACCTGGCGGGCTTGTAGAAAGCCGCCGTATGTCAGGGGAGGATCGTAGGGAGTCGGTGAGGTGAGGTGCCATTGCTTGTTGGCGGTATCGAGTCGGTTGCCGTGTCTGCGATGTCGGCGGAGGTTAGCAACGAGTGGCCAATTGCAAAGCAGTGAGATTGAAATCTTGGGAATTTGTCTCGTACCTTACGACGAATATATGCGACGGTAACCGGCCCATGGTTGATATTGTCTTGTCTTTGCTTGGGCGTGGTGGTGGACGGATTGTGGTGTGGTTTGCCGAACGGAGAGCGTATATCGATAGAAATGCAGAGGCCAGCGGGTGGATAAATAGAGAAACGGATGAATCGCGCAAACAACTTTAACAAAAATAACTTCGTCAATGTTGGTTCCTGGCGACTTTATAGTTTATAGACGACCGACGCCCGATCCGCCGCCTTCTGACGTGTCTCTGTCCAGCTGGCTGCAGTGGCCTGGAACTGGCTCAGCCGCTCCTACGCACTGGCTTGCCTTCTCCGCATATGAGGGGCCGAATGACACCAGGGCTTGGGGAAGACTGTTCGACAGGGAATAATTGCAGCGGGGTTTGATCAGCTGGGCAGGACGGGCTGCAGTTGCAGTTGCAGTTGCAGGACTGAGGATGCGAATGCGAGCAATCGGCAGACGGGTGGTTCGATGGGGGGCGATGAGATGAGGTCAGGTCAGTCAGGCCGTGCAAGGAGGGAGAGAGGGACGAGACACAGTGCACCGCTGTCTGTTTGTTAAGCCGCACGAGATGCTGTAACCGCAGACGGAGAATGAGGTATTGGGTTCAAATGTAATGTTGGGTTTTGGAGGGGGGATTGGGATGATGGGATGAAATGTTCATGTATTTATCACATGGAGGCCAAGAAGGCGATGGAAATTAATTCATTACTACTGCTAGCACTAAGTCGCTTACAGTACAGTACTACCTTAGTTACTCGTACTACTACTGAACTGACAACTTACTGTAAGTCTCCGCCAAATTAATTTTCATCTGGCTTGTTCAATCGGGGCAAGGCTGTCTCGTCTCGGCTGCTCCTTTGGGTAAAGACACGCCCCCCGAGATTCCCATGTGACGTGGGCCGGTTTTTCGTCTCCCTTCTCCTCCATCCTCTTTTTCTTTTTTTCGTGTGTGAATATTAATAATGTCTCTGGTGACTTTTCCATTTTTTCTTCCCTCCTTTCCCCTTCTTAACAATGGTCCCCCTGGCATGAATCTTTCCTCCTCCTCACGCTTCTCTTGTTCAGGCTGTTTCGTCATTGGGGGCACGTGGGGCGCATGCAACCCTGGGTTGGTGGCATGCATGACGGCCCTTTTGTTTTCTGGCTTGTGATTCTGGGCATCTTTGGTGAGTTTTTTGGTCAAAGATTTGCTGAATTGCAACGCGGGGGGTAGCAGAGCATCCGCTCCGGTGACGTCGGGGGTGTCGTTTTGGAGGCACCGGCGCCCCCCACTCGTCCTTATTTCAAGATCTGCAAACTATACACGGGTGCCTACTCTGTATCTTTAGCCGGATATCCTCTCCGAGTGTACCCTTGACCCTTTACTATTTCGTTCGATAGGCCGCTGTTGATGTGACAAATTCCCCAGGATAACTGCATCGAGAAAAATCAAGTCATCCGTTCCCTCTTGCGCCGGAACCGTGTTGCCCTCCTCGTCATGCCGAAAGCCATTGTCCAGGAAGAGGCCAGCAATGCTCGCAACTTCCACGCGGTCGTCGTAGCCCGGCATCAGCTCCTTAAACGCCGCCCAGAATACATCGCGAAGAGCCTGATGGTTGGGGAGATAGGTCCAGCCCACGCTGACTCTTCTGATCCCTAGCATGGCCTCGAACCCGCCAAGCGACATGCCAAACGGGCTGACCTCGGTGTCCTTCCAGTCGCAGATACCGACGGGACTGCCTGAAATCGTGTCCACGTGGATGTTGTTCTCCCGGAGGTCGATGTGGTTGGGCACCATCGGCCAGTCCCCGGCAAAGAGCTCCGGGAGGCGCGATCTGACCTTGTTTAGAGTCTGGCGAAAGCGGCTCGGCAAACCTTCCTCCAACACCGCAAGCTGCGCGTCGTAGGTCTGGAGGAGCTCGCCATGGTCTGTATCCTTGATTGTCTGAGGCGTGTTCCGCCATGCCGAGCTGAAGAACCTGCGTTAAAAGTCAACTGTACGGCTCCCTCTGGCTTCAGGTTTGAGGTTCCCACCGACCTTGCGTAGTCTTGCAGAGTCTTCTTCAGGAGCAGGCAATCATTCGCATGCAGCTGGTCGCGGGCCAGATACATGGCCACTTCATCCTGTAGACGTGCACCTCGCCCACCTTGCCAACGCTCTTGTGGTGTGGAACGAAGCCCTTGTAGGCTTGTTCGATGTCCTGGAGAAAGCCGAGGCCTAAGGCAGAGTCACTGCAGCGAAACTGGACAGCAAGTGAGCCACTCTTAGTGTCTCGTCTCCTCTATCAAAATATCAAAACGGTAGACCGACCCAGTGTATGTATGCTCCTCTATGGGGGTGTACCGTATTTGCATCGCATCGCATCGCGTCCTCGGCATTTGCCATCTTACTAATGCCTCCAACGTGTGTTGGACTTGATGCTCCTGGCTTGGCACCTACTAAGCAATACTTGTACGAAAACATCCTCTTACGTGTATCCATGGCGTCTCAGTTGGTCTGTATGTGTGTCACTTGCTGATATTACGGGCACAATGGTTTGCATACTCGTACTGTACCGTACAATATAACCAAGGGTGTGCCTACTAATGCATGTTCGCAGAAGCTTCAAATGAGGCGTCCTTTTATCAGCGCTTACTCCGGCACACCGAGATGTCGGATCGCGCCACTCATCCCGGATATATTCTCCTTCTCCCATCCGTGTAGTAGTAGGTATAACCGTACGAGCACATGCAGTATTTACTCCGTACACCCACCACCTCAATGTGACCTCTTCAGCCAAAGCAGTCAATATCACAAGTCCCCGGATTTGTAATTTTGCTTGCTTCGTCACATGCTTTGATAGCGGCCACTAGCAACGGGTACTTCCCGTCCTTTATCCAAGATGCACCCCTCCTTGCTGCTCCACACGCCCCGCGGTAGTCGATTTCAGGGCACATTTTCAGATGTAGGTACTGAATACTTTCTGCAGCCAATACGCTCCAGCATCTAGTAGCGTACTCTCTACTTGCTACTCTACCCATGAAACTGTTGGTAAAAAAGGGGGCCCAGATTTGTAAGCGCCCAAGATTGCCGAGCTGGACTTGACCACATACCTGCAGCTCATTGATTAATCGATACATACAATCAACCCGCATGGCTATGGCTTCGCGACAACCTCCGTCAAGCTAGCAATACTTACTTGTAACCTAGGTACGAATCTACATACGAGGTATCCAGTCGTCATCGTCGTCACGTCACAATCACCATCACCGCCGTCGCGATGAAGCTCTCGGGCCTGAGCTTCAAGGCCATCGTGGCCTCGCTATTGCTCGCATCGGCCTCAGTCGCCGAGCACACGAGCAACTGGGCCGTCCTGGTCTGCACATCGCGCTTCTGGTTCAACTACCGTCACCTCGCCAATGTCTTGTCCATGTACCGAACGGTGAAGCGCCTTGGCATCCCCGACTCGCAAATCATTCTCATGCTGCCCGACGACATGGCCTGCAACCCTCGAAATGCGTTCCCCGGCACCGTCTACAGCAATTCAGACCGTGCAGTCGACCTATACGGCGACAACATCGAGGTCGACTACCGCGGCTACGAGGTTACTGTTGAGAACTTTATCCGTCTCTTGACGGATCGTGTCGGCGACGAAACCCCCCGAAGCAAGCGCCTGCTGACCGACGATCGAAGCAACATCTTTGTGTACATGACGGGTCACGGTGGAAACGAGTTTCTCAAGTTCCAGGACGCTGAGGAGATTGGCGCATTCGATCTTGCCGATGCTTTTGAGCAGATGTGGGAGAAGAAGAGGTGCGCATTATACTTTCCTGCATGTTTCTTGTTGCAGTAGGATTCATCTAACCTCTGATACGATACAGATACCACGAAATTTTATTCATGATCGATACCTGCCAGGCAAACACAATGTACAGCAGACTTTACTCTCCCAACATCATTGCCACGGGATCATCCGAGCTCGACGAATCATCGTATTCGCATCACGCCGACAGCGACGTCGGCGTCGCAGTCATCGACCGATACACCTACTACAACCTAGAATTTCTCGAAGCCCATGTCCAAGACCTCGGCAGCAAAAAGACCGTCGGCGAGCTGTTCGACAGCTACGACTACGACAAGATTCACTCCACCGCTGGCGTGCGCTATGATCTCTTCCCTGGGGGAGAAGAGGCCGCGCGCAGCCGCCTCATCACCGACTTCTTCGGCAACATTCAAAACGTCGAGGTCGACCGAGCCAAGGACTCGGCCTTGGAGGAAGAGCTGGTCGAGCTGAGCAAGACCATCGCCATGCTGAGGAAGAGGGAAGCCGAGGAAGATGCGGCCCGCCACAACGTGTCGTCCATTCCCGCCAGCGTTCCCACGGCGCCGCCGAGGAAGATGCAGGGCGCCAAGGCTCTCACCGAGGATGACTGGTGGACGAAGAAGGTTATTGGAGCCACGGCGCTCGCTGGATGTGCGCTGTTGTGGGGAGTTGGCACATTGTTGGAAGCATAATTTGCGGCTTGTTTAGTGTTTTTGTCTTGTTTTTATCAAGCATCGAATTTTAAGATTAGATTATACATCATCCATCTTAGCGCAAGGCTCATCCCAGTTAGAACAATTCTTCATAAAGAGAAATATTCGCAATGATTCAATCCCAGCTCAATTCATTTCATTGATAATGGTTGATGATATCATGGGTCCACGCAGATGAATGCCTTAGTCAGCAGCAAATTAGACGTGCCAGTCTCATGCAGCATTCTTCAGAATCAAACCTTGTTCATAAACTTTTCATCTCGACGACCCTGCCCAGCGAGAATTGAATTTTTCGCAAGCGGACGTGAAAAACACCAATGAATCAGATTGTAAACCTGCGCGTTCTGATGAAATTGGCCACGCCTAGCCCTCCATAGCATGGACCGATTCAGGGTGAGTTGAGAACAAGATTTGAGATCAGTGATTGGACAGGACATCTAGATGAGCATCTCTCTCTTCCAATGTTGATTTTTCGTTTATTTTATTTTCTCTTCAGTATTCGATCAACCTATAGCGTGTTTATATGTATAGAACAATGCCAGTTCCTTCATCTTCAGCCTCCCCTACCCCAATCGGTAGTTCTATTCTTGACTTCTTTCTTTGCCTCCACACCTCTTTTGCTCACGAGTTCAACATGTCGACATCAATTTCTCTGCTGACATCGACCGCCAATCGTCTTAGGCGCGTCCCCTCCAGACGCTTTCTCTCACTTCGCGTCCGCCTTCGCCACATGCCCTTGCCTGGTCATGCGACGCTGAACTGGCCGTTGCCACGCAGGAATGCATCTACATCTTCTTGCCCGACTATCTGGCCGGCCACGATGCCGACGCTGATGAACGAGATGCCTCACAGTATCAGTTTGCGCTCTCTCTCCAGCCATCTGCCGTCATCAATCCAAATACCAAGATCAATGGTCAGCTGTGCGCCCAAGCAGGCGTCAGGCTACCGGCTCCTCGAACAGGCGACGAGGGCAGTTTCAGAGGCGTTGGTAATGGGACGGTCACAGGGTCTGGCGCAGCCTTGGGGCAGGTCATCAGAGTAGAGTGGTCGCCGAGTGGGCTTGGCTGCAACTCTCGCCCAGTGCTGATGGCCCTGACAACGACTGGCAATCTCATCACGTTTGGGGAGCAGGTCGACAGCCAGTCATCCGCCACGTCGAGCATGAGGACTCGGACCTTTAAGAATTGGAGGGTGCTTTGGGGCTTGGGAGCCAAGCTTCCGATCCCGGATTCCAGGTTCGAAGACGGGTTCCGGATCATGGACGAGCGCATCGTCTCGTTTTCGTGGGCCAAGGAGATTGCCCCCGGAAGAGCCTTGTTGGCCTATCTCAACGACATGGGTCAGATTATTGTCATGAGTATCCGGTATCACCGTCGCCGAGATTCTTCTAAACGCGGCTCTGAGCAAGAATGGGTTTGGACTTTGACGGAGCACATCAGAATCGACGGACGGGGCCCTCACAAGGAGGTGAGTCTACTTGATGCTATCCCGCCCGAGCTTTTGACTTACTTTTCGTTAGGATACAGATCCACAAGATCCGGATTTCAGTCCTCAAGGCAGCATCTTCTCCCTTAAATGGAGCCCCTGGCTAGTCGACAATGGAAACAGAACTGCGACCCTGGGATATCTGTCGAAAAACCATGCTGGCTTCCGCAGGATCGTACTGTACGGTGACTGGGAGAGGGGCGAGTTGCCCGACGTGGAAGCTGAACGAAGCGACACTACCACAATGTGTCTCCCTCTCTCTAGTGACGCGTTGATTGAGTGGGAGGATGCGGTGAGTGGCGATTGCTGTGCATATCCAAATTAGTTGATTGACACTAATGAGAGCAGATATGGACCGAGGGGGATTCCCATACTGCTCGGGGTATCATCACAACTCCTTTCACAATCAAGTCTTTCCAGATCATGCTCAACGGTATCTTGAGTGAACCGTCACCTCCGCACTCTATCTGGGAGTGCGCTTCAGCCTATGCCGACGAAGAGGATGTGTCGACAAATCCCATCACAGGTAACGTTGGACTATCGTATCGGTAGATGACTCGTATTCTTACAATTTCGCCCTAGGCCTTGTTGTGCATGATCCTGATCCCAATAATAAGCCCCCGATTCCATACTATTCTCTGGTGAGGCTATCCGCCACCTCCACCAATCTCGACTGGTACCAGACAAACTTGCCCGAAGAAAACCTTCCGCAATGGGTAGAAGATATAGGGGACCAGAATGCCCGCCTCGTCTCTCGAAGGGCCGCATTATACGGCGTAGACTCAGATTTCGAGTCAGACTCTGAGGGTGAAGACAAGCCGATGCAAGACGCACCTCCAGCGTCAGCCGATCCCGGTTTGCAGGTTCACCCGTACCGGTTTCGCCTCTGGGGCTTGGCCAAGTCCCCCGGCGATGGATGTACCGCCGTCCTTGCCTCGAAGCACGATACTCAGCATCCCGATCGCCGCGGCGTCTCAAATGTTCACTTCGACTGGCAAGTCTCTGCAGATGCCGACGGCAAACCCCAGCGCGCGAGACCAATCTCTAAGCCACTGACCACGGAGGGCCGAGCTTGGGAGTGGATGTACGGGCTGGGAGGCGACGTTCCCGGCGTGACACCAGGGTACAAGACTTCGTCTGCCAAACAGCAGGCCAGTCCACTGAGAGAAGTGTTCAAGCGTGCGGCTACGAGTCTGCCCTGTGTATTCTGTGAGGCTCGACTATCTATCAAGGATGATGTAGCTACTTGCAAAAACCGCCATGCATTCGGTACGAGATCAACTCGTTTTCTTTCCCCTCTTCCTTGTTTACATCATACTAACGACGAATGCAGCGATATGTGCCACATCTGGCATCCCCATCTTGGCTCCTGGGATCTCTCGAGTCTGTGGCGTGTGTAAGATGCGCTGTCTCAAGGTCTCTGAGTTGGAAAAGTTGGCGGAGGAGTACCTTGGGAGTGTTGATGCGGTGGGGGATTCACAAGGAGAAGTGTGTGGAGGTTGTGGCGGCAAGTTTGTCGTTTGAGAGCAAGCTTTGTGTTTCTATCTTGGCCTATTCAGCGACTGGGAAGTCTCTGCGTGATTTAGCATGCTGTGGTTTGTTGGGGAAAAGCATAACAATCGGCTTCTTATATTGTGTAATGCAATGTGTAAGATGTCGGCATGATGCGCTGTCAGGTGAATTCGGGATGCCCCCTCAAGACATTGCACGATGCCGCTCTCTGCCTACACTTTTCCTTAATGAAGGCGGATAAAGGAGTTGATTCCACATCATAGAGACGGTAGAGCGTATGAATGACTCATTGATGATGGCGTGTCAACGGGGTGTTGCATTAAGTTGATCGCGTCTCTGCATGAGAACGTGGATGAAGCGGTGAATGATGCGGATACGCCCTCTTCTTTGACCTTTTCTCTCTTCTGAGGGCAAAAGTCAAGTGAATTGGGTCAAGTCTGTTGAAGATAAATAGGTCGTCTGTTTCCCTTGCAATTTCATCTGCGCCATCTACAACCACATCAATTACTTGACTCTGTGACCACAACTGACATGGCCGACGAAGACTACAACAGACGGACGGCACAGACTGATCAGACACACTGATCAGACACACAGACAGGCCAGACAAATACGACACACCGAGGCTTTTGGGTCACCCAACAAACTATACTATTGCACGTAAGTTCCCTTTTGCACTGACGGTGGTGAAATTTGTACCGGGTTACTGATGCCCCTGACATAGCTGTTGCTGCCGTCAAAGCAGAAAAATACGATGTTCTTTTGACAATATCGAATTCCCCTTGAGCGCCCGCTTATATCACTCAGGCCACTGCTACAGTCGTGCTTGGTGGTTTTCGTACGCCATCAGCATGTTCCCGCCCTCTTTCTGGAGTCACCAACACACGTTTCCAGAGGCGCTTCAACACCTTGCCTCACATGTGAAATAGAGACTCTCCCGACTTACACTATGCTCAGGCAATCCTCAAGGATATCCCTGGCGCCCCAGAAAATAACATAAACACTTACATGCTACTTATATCAAAGTATGCCGACAACATCGAGTAATCCATTGGCAGCTACCTATACCATCGCAATATGTGCCCCTGATCCACTCCAACTCTCCTCTTCAGAAAGCAGCGCGAGAGACGATGACAAAGAAAACGAGTACGGCCTCGGATACCTAGGCATTGTTTCCAACGGCGGACTTTCTACTCGTGTCCAAGTCCAATTCCACTGGATGCCAATCAACGTCCAAGAACCCTCGAGCCTCACTACCCAACTGAAGCTCGATACGAAAAAGCCGTCAACCAAATGCCTCAATCTACGGTGCCCAATGTGCGGAGAAGTTGCCTCCATGAGCTTGAAACAGGCCAAACGTTTGAGATTGATGTTTTCAACGAATACGGCACAACATGAAGGCCGTTCTGGATGTGCAATAGGCCGTCATGAATCTGCAGCGTTTTCTGGAGTAGCTGAACTTTGGAAGCTCGATCACGCCTGATTACACAGTGATGGCTTCATTTCCTTGAGAGAAACGGAATCACAAGAACAAGAAGTTATACAGCCTCAACCCGACGGACTGGACGCAGCACCAACTCGACTTTCACATCACTAGAGAGCGAACACTTGAGCAAATACAAAACAACAGACAATGAGTACCACCGCCAGCAGGAAGGCCGCGCACATGAGAGACGAAGATCAACTCAACCGCCCAAACAGACGATTGAGGCTGGAGGCTGTCTTTTGATGACTCCTCCGACCTTCTCAGAATGTGCTCTTCTGGGGTGTGACAGAGGCCCAAGTTTTCGTGGCGAACATTAATATCATGGCGACGGGGGTCAATCTCCACGAGGATTACCACACGTAAGCTTTTGCAGAACAACAATTGCGCCAAGACTACGCTTCGATTCCATCTTGGCTTTTCATATGGAGACCATTTACCCCATGCGAACGAGTGGAAGAACAATGTTCACAAACGAACGCGCAAATGGATGCCCCTCTGCATTCATCCACGGGAATAAACCTCCTTCAACAAGGGACGACTCGGAAAATCACACATTAAGTGACTTGCAGAAAGCCAGGAAATTATATGTCTCAATTTCCAGGAGAGCCAGTTGTTTCTGGTAAACTAGATGGAAGCGACAGCGAAAGATCTCATTCGATATATCACGTCTCGATTATCGGAACACCATCGCAGACACCCACTCCATGAGCGACATGACAGATCAAACTATTCTAAACTACCATTACTACCACTGTCTTGTTTGTTTACTTGAGAACCTCGACATCTCGCCTTGCAAGGTGTCTTTCACAGTTGCAGGGCAAGTCACGTACTTCAAACCGTCGATGTGAAGACACCCTACAAACGAACCGTCTCCTTGCCGGCAATTCTCGCTTGGGCCAATAAGTGACATCGCCTCTCCGGACCTGAAAGTCAAGTCACGTTGAACGGCATGATGCCCCCCCCCCCCCCAGACAGCTTGCCCATATCATTAGGCAGACCTTAGCATATCCCCTCTACGTAGTAGATGGAGAAGACGAACCTGAAGCCATGACGATTCCTAATAAGGCCGCTGGCCGAGGGATTTCTCTGCCACTGCCAACGCAGGAGCATGACTCATTCAGGACGCCCTGCAAAGCTTCTATCGAGACAGCGGTGCAGCGCTTGTGAGCAAGTCGCTCAACAACAAGAAAATCGTCAACGACATGGCCATTGCCTTGAGTATGTGAAATTGTGGTGCCTCGAAGCCAGAAAGGTAGCGACTAGAAAGGTCAACTGTGGGTTCAAGCTCACAAGCCGATGATTCATTAATGTAACGAAATACGCAAAAACGGTGCGCAGGAATAGGACATCTACCTACCCATGTACAAAGCCAGGCATAGCAAGGGACAACTTGTTACTCTGATGGAAGACATTCTCTTGAAGAAGTCATTCAATCTACAGTCTAATAGCACTCGCTCAACGGTGTCCTTGATGACATCCACGGCATTCGGAGAAACTTGCATCAAGCCACGCCTAGACCAATGAAACTCATCCCTTTATAAACTTGGTACCAGAAAGTGTCAGATTGGTCAAGTCTGTTATTACTGCTCCGTAAGATTGCCACAAATGCCGCTGAGATTGTATAATCAAGATCACGAGGCCATGACTACCTATTTTAGTAACGAGTAATTATTAAAGTGAGCTGATACTAGCCCATATCAGCAGATACAACCATGGAAAGTCCTCGGTCATTAGAACTCCTATCTAGGTAGCTGCTAAAATAATAAAACTCATAAATAGTCAATGAGCATTCAGAAATCAACAAAGCACCTTTAATAAGAGCCTCACATATATGAAACTGCATCTTCACATGATACCTAACCCGGAACAATAGAACCCCGACTCGCAGCGTGCTTCAACGCCATGTAATTTCTCGTATAAAGAAAATAGAAAGGCCATCCAGAACCAGGGCCGGCAAGGAGAACATCCGCGCGAAATGCTTACCTCAGAGCGCCCAGTCAGCAACCTCCTACGCTCATCCCTTGTAGAGAATAGAGGTTGGTTGTCGGCGTCGATATAAATTGTCAAAGTCGCCAGAGGCTAGGATATATAGTATTGCTATATACCGGATTCTGGGCACATTCTAAAAACAGCTAGGATGCGTAAGAGACCGCAATCAACATGCATTACCAAATTATTATTATTATTCGTCTCACGTTCTATACTTATACGCCGATGGGATGACCAAGCTAAACTAACACGCTTTCATTGTTATCCACAGTTAAGGCCGACATCAATCCAAGCCATAAGCACTACTTCCTCTGATTTGACAGGGCCGCCAGCAAATCCAGTCTAATAGGGTATCTAACGATTTGCTCCCCCCCAAGAAACAGCACCAAATCCAGAGTAGAGCACCTTTAAATCGCCATCATGAAGGCGAGTGCGAGGGCGCCAATGGAGATGGACAAGGACACACTGCCGTTATCCTTGCCGTCCTTGTCAGAAGAAGTGTCGCCCGAGCTGCCACTGCCACTTCCGCTGCTGCCACCCTTTCCGTTGTTGGAGCTGCCACCGCTGCCACCATCGCCGTCGGTGGAGTTGGAGCTGCTGTCGTTGTCTGCAATCTCTCCGCCAAAGGACGTTCGGCCGGGGGAGACGCTCCGTGCCAGGGCGGAAGCGCGCTTCTTGTAGTCGGCGAGAGTCTGGTTGCCCTTGGGGTTGATGATGCCGACCATGCCAGCGGCGCACTCGTTGCCCTGCGAAGAGTAGAAAGGAATGGTGTCGGTTCCGTTGATCTCTACGCGAAAGACTTTGTCCTAATGTCTCATGTTAGTATCATGGCCACCTAAAGTAGTGTTGTTGAGAAGACGTACATTTTCGCCGCTGGATGTCGCAAAGAAGCCAGAGAAGAAGCCGGTGCCGAGCTCCATGGGAGAGCAGGGGTAGCGGTAGTCGCCAGCGACCACGGAGTGGTTCTTGGGCTCGAAGATGAACTCCAAGACGTCGCCATCGGCTGCCTTGATGGTTGAAGGGTCAAAGGTGTTGTCGGACGTGGCCGTGATCTTGATGGTGGCTGCGTTGGCCAGATACGCAAGGGCAAAGGCCGAGAGGAGGCTCTTGACGGAAGGCATTTTCATATGCAAGTATAATCAAGCGCGATGATGTATATATAAAAAAGCAAGCAAGCAAACAGACAGACAATCGCTAGATGATTGAAAGCAGGAAGATGCTAGAGAACAATGCAGAGCAGCTTACTTCACAAGAGAAAAAAAAAGGAGAGCAACAACAAAGAGCTGGGACCAGAGCTCCTTAAGTACGGAGGGCGATCCCGAAGGATTCGGATAGTTCCCTCTCGTATTCCACCTTGACTCTCGTGAACAGGAGGGTCCAATGGCGCAGATCTTTGGGAAAAACACGAAAAACACGAAGAAAGCCCAAGCAGCTGGCCAACGAGCATCCGATCTTGGCTCAAATCAGTCTGCGCCACGCAAAGCCCCCATGCATCCATGCATGTCTAGCTGTGTAAGTTGGCGCCCCTTTGGGAATAGACTGCCGTGCTGTGCTGTCTTGGGAGCTTACAGTCACTGAAACATCATCGTCGGTGTTATGCGATGTCGTTACGGCGGCGGAAATCCGTCATTGAACTGACGGCGGACGCGAAAACGTCACGATTGCTGTCATGCGAGTTGTGCAGCTTCTTTGTTTGCCAGCAGAGAAGCCTCCAAAGGGGTTGTATAAGAGGCGGCAATACTTGGGCTTTTTGCCTCTGACAACCAGCAAGACGCTCGGACCAGGAATAGGATCATTAAGGCACGTATGTAAGCATCAGGCAGCGTCTCACCGCATCCAAATAGTCCCAGAGCCATGCCGTGCCAAATATAGTAATCCAGTGGTTTTTTTTTTGTCCGAGTCGCTATTTATACTCGGACGCATGAACGAGTTGGCCGCTAGCCTTGGCCAGATCTGGGATCTGGGATGTGGCTGTGGTGCTTAGTAAAGAAAAAAGAAAAAAGAGGGAGAATTGAAGGAAAGAAATAGGGACACCAAAAACTTCCCGCCTTGGGTAAAAAGGACCTCGTTGGGGAAAAGGGAACAACAAGCCTTGGGCCGGAACAGCAGTTCTTGCAGCAGTTCCGGATACCGAGGAGAAGAGCCGTTTTGTCGACCAGACGGACGCATCATAATCGTACGATGATGAATCTGAGTCTCGGGGAATCATCTTCAACGGCTGTTCGGCGACTCCTGGGCCACAGTCCAGCTCTGCTAGGGGAAGTGAGTAGACGGGCGGGATGGCGATGGCAAATACATAGAACAGGACTCGAAGCATCAAAGTATGGCCGCATATCGGCCGCGGAACCCAGTGGCGGAGGTCCGTGTTTTTCGGGGACGCTTCTTGGCGTTGCCACCGGCACCGGCTCTGGCCATCGGCTCTTTGGTCGCCGCGACGGTTCGAGCAGTCTAGTTTCATGTCGTGTAACCAGAGGGCGTTGCCGTCGGGTCAACCGCTCAGGCCCGGTAATGGTAATCCTACGTGTAGCAGCAACAGTACAGTAGCGTCGACGGAGTATTACCCAGGTAGCCATTGATCCGTTGGCATCTGCGTAGGTACATACGGACGGCATAAAGTACGAGTCCCCATACAGTAGCATCGGCTTCGCGCAGCTGCGGCAAAGACCGTTGTCCAGTCGCTTCGTCTGGAGCCCCCCCGTTAGTGTCGTCCATAGGGCAAATTCACGTGGATAGGGGTGCTCTATCGCTCCATTTGGCAAGACTTTTTTTAAGCTTTTGGATCCAGATCGGCTGCCGGGCCAGACTCGATTTGCCTTTCTCGGCCCTCCAGATGACGGGGTTTTTTGGCTTCTACAAGTAACGTTTTGTTCAGCTCATACGTAATCAGCCAGTTCAGCCGCTGCCAGAGAGGCGAATCGTGTCGCGTCCATTTCCGCTTGCTCACACGTCCCAGCCCAGTCTGTGGCGCCTCCCTATTCGTACTGTCCCTCCGAGTCTGGGCTTGTCAGCCTTTTTGGCTCTCAGCCTTAGCCTTTTGGTAGCCGGCAACTCTGAACTCTTGGGAGCTGAGGGAAAACGAGCCGTCGAGGGCATAAATACAAGACGGCGAGGGAACTCTATTCCAGCAGAGACGGGGGGTGGTGGCTCAACCCTGAGGACGAGGCGTTGGGCGTGCGGATGGTTGTTTGCCTTGTTATTCGTCGGCAGTTCGATGCAACCAAGGGCGAGGCAAGCAAGCAACTGTACAGTATCCAGGTAGAGCACGGCCGTGTTCCGATGCGGCGACGAGAAGGGAAAAAAATAACAAGGCCGTTGGGCTGGAAAAGGCTGCAACTCAACTCGAGTCAAAGCTGTCTGTCTGCCAACCCAGAGTTGAAAACTCGGGAGAGCACAGTCACCCCCGCGAGTTGACTGGCCGATAGTCCCTGAAGCAGTTCGTCACGGTGGAGAAGGTTAGTCTTGTTTTCTTGCTCTGGGACCCGTTCTCGTCCTTGTAGATGCACGGCGAAATTGCGCTCTCGCGAGACTCACCGGATAACATGTCAATCTTCAATTGCGAGGGGAGCTGCAAAACCCGCTGCTGCGTTTCACGATCAGTCACCCATGCGAAGCTAGCGTGCCAGTCGAGAGGCGCGCGGAACCAGACCCATGGCATGCAATGTGATTTGGTTTGATTTGACTTGTGTGTGTGTGTCGCGGCTGAAATTGAGCTCGAGCTGGGTCAGCGTATCATCGTGGGGAGACGCCGGGGTGAGCCGAGATGAGGAGCCAATTTACTTGGGACTCTTGCACGCAGACTTTGCGATACTGTAGACGTTTTCAGGTTGGTGCAGGTTGTATCGCTGCGAGAGGCAGGAAATGAGAGGAGCAGCGAGGTCGCGAGAGAGGGTGAGAAGCTTTTGTCAGTCTCGTGTCAAGTCATTCGCATCATCGGCGGCGAGCGGTTGGTTGGGTGAGCATGAGAGCACGAGCCAGAGAGCACGAGCCTGGGCCAGACAGACAGACAGACAGACAGACAGACAGATCCAGCGACAGCCGCCAGAGGAATGTGAGATGCAGCCAAGGCACAGGCCAACACACAGAGAGAAAGAGAGAGACAGACACACACACAACTTACAGAGTCACTTTCACACTAGAGCTCATCTGGAGGGCTGAAAAGGCGCGCAGCCCGTATCGAAGCAAATCGGGCGCCTCGTGATCAACGCTGGGTTACGAGCCCAGGCACCTCCAGCGCCAGAAGGTTTCGATGGGTGGAAACCTTCGTCGTCAGGCATTGGATTGGATCCAATCGCATTCGGGGGCCGCAGAGGACGAGGGACGAGGAACATGGCGGCTGTGTAGGGGGTACATGACCTCATTCATCTCTTTTTTGCGTGTCTTGATAATCGGTGTTAATTTACCCTTGATACTCAAATCATTTGATAGGATAGAATAGGATGGGATGGGATGCCCTCCATCCCTCCCTCCCTCACCTAAAGTACATTAGTTGAGGCAGTTAGAGTACATGTAGCGCTGGACTGGATGGGCAAGGCAAGGAACATTTTTGAACCCTGCAAGGCCCGTCGCTGCGCTGCGCTGGAAACAACGTGGAAGAGGGGCAGCTCGAGCACGAACCCGGCCGCGAACCGCTAGCACGAGTACCGGACACCACTATATCGAGTTTTTTTTGCTACCTTACATGACATGTTACGAGTGCGACTTTAGTACCTTACCCGTAACCCAGCACACTGCACGGCCTCCGTCAGGTGCCTTTTTATTTTTTTTGGCCTCAATTTAGCATCTCCTGTACATACCAAGACTCGGTGGCTACCTACTAGGTACCTTACATCTACCCAAGGGGGGGCGTGTGTGGTGGCAGGCGCTCCCTCGCGGAAACAGCTGCCAATGTAACTACGGATGAGTGGCGTTTTCATCAAAGGTCCTCTAATCTGCTGCCATCTCTCTTCCCTCATACAACAAAACACGATTCAATTTTAACACCCCGGACCTGGGACTAGAAACCACATGGCAACGACCGGGGTGGCAGAGTCTGAATTCGAATCTGCACTGTCTGTCGGAACGCGCCCCGGCTCATGCATGTGCTTGTACAGTACCGTGCTGCGCCGTGCTTGTTTGCTTGCCCGTCGACTCCCCTCTCTCTCGACTCCTCCTGCTCCTGCTCCGACTCCGACTCCTCCTCGCAGCGGCCATCATCATCATCATCATCACCATCTTCCAACTCGCTCGGAGGGCTCCCGTAAGGAGGGGGCCAAAGGCTGTGGATGCCTGCAAGCGCGCGGGCACCAAGCAAAACCACCACAAACCCAAAATCCTGCCCTCTGACGGCCGTCCTCGCACAGGACACAGGATGGCGTCGCTAGGGCTAAGCAGCCTCTTGCCCCGCCATAACGGCGCTGGCGTACCACCATGGCATGTCAGAATCCAGTCTGTCGGGAGTGTGGCTCCAGCAAGGGATTGTCTCATGATCGCCCATCTCTGCGCCGTCAAATGCTGTCACACCGAACAAAGCATGTCCGCGTAACTACGGAGCTTGGGTGTCCTTGTACTGTGCGCGTGAGGGAGAGGCGGCCCTGTCAGTCTGTCCGAACGAACCGCAGGCACGGCATCCCGCCCGCACCCCCCCAGGCGTTGCCTCTACCTCTTGGTCTGGCAACTGGGTCGCCCTCCGCAGAAAAAGAGACAATGATATTACGCCGTATTTCGCATGTCCACAGCACCGTCTATTGCGAGCAGGGGAGGCTGGTACATTACCCAAGAGGCGGCGGCGACTCTGTGCCGGGGCCACCAGCACAGCGCAGCGCAGCGCAGCGCAGCACAGGCAACTTTGCTTGGCAAATCTGCCAGCCAGCCTGCTTTAGACCATCTTACTAGCAAGCTTTGCGCACTCACATGTGCATGTAAACACGCATCTCTACATGTTAAATCCCGGACCTCGACGAGACCCGCCCAGAGCGCCCACCATCGGGCACCGGGCTCAAAGTGACGTGCCAGAGCGGCTAGGCGACGTCCTCTCCCCTTTGATATCCGTTTCCTCTTCTCGCGCTCGCAGCCCTACGTGGCCACCAGCTAGTACACTGGCCATCTACACGTGGATCAGAGGCGTGGCTGCATGCCTTTTCCACGTCCGAGGCGGTGTTATTATTGCTCGCCGAGGTGGCTTGCACACACTCCAGAGACTTGGGCGGCATCGTCGACCCGTGAGTGGCGCATCTCGCCCCAGCTCCCAAACCGACATCCATGGATACACACACGAATAAACGTGGGCGGGCTAGCTTAGTTCGAATTCTTTGTGGAGGCTGGACCTCTCCATGTAACTGCTTGCTATCTGGGGCTGGCTGCCCACGCTGCTCGTCTTTTAGCGCGCTTCCCGTGTCCAACATGGCATCCATACGGTATTAGACCTAAGCCTAGGGTACGCAAGACAAGCAGTTCTTGTGTCCAGACTTGCCAAGTACATCTCCCGATTTCCCGCCTAATAAGCTACCTGGGTCCCCCAAATTACCTCTTCCTCATCCCTATATCAGAGCCAGGGACTCTTTTTTGCCCGTGCAAGGTGAAGGTGACCTTGTGTGCGCCTGGGTCGTGTCCGTGTCTCCTTCTCCTCCCCGCTTATTGCTTTGCTGGATAGCTCCTCTGGTCGCCTTTTTAAAGCTGGGAGAGCGAGAGTGAGAGTGGGAAACGAGAGGCGAGGACAGATGCCCATGTTTGCCTTGATTCCTCGGCCGCCGACCTTGAACACCTCCGTCCTTGGAACATACGGATGTCCCTGAATCCATTTCCCTCCGGGGGCACTTAGAAGCAGACAGACCCGTTTCTTTCGTCCTTGGTTGTCGCCGTCCAGGGCCGCGACTTGGTTTGGTGGATCTTGCTGACCTTTCTTTCCTAATATTCTTTTCTTAACCCATATCGCCTCTTCTTCTTTTTTTTTTTCCTTCTCTTCTTCTGGTCATCTTGTATATCCAAGATCCCATACGGACTCGAGGTCATGGTTTGTTGTGGCCTTGAGTATATGGATTTCACCATCTTGCTTGACGAGACAACCTTTTCAAACCCCTCCAATATCTACTCAATCGCTATATGCCACCGAGAAAAAAAAAAGCCCGCCGTCAGCGCTGCATATTTACGCCCTGCTTCTGCGCTCCCCTCCCCCTTGCGGACCGCCATCGTTGACAACCTTCTTCCGGATTCGAGCGATAGGTCGCTATTTATGCGGCCAAGTCAAATCGGGCCCTAAATGTCAACTCCTGCAGTAAGTGGTTCAGCCCGTGTATCATGTTTTCCCCTCTCCTCCTCCTCCTCCTGCTCCTCCTCTCTCTCTCCCCCCCAATCAACATTCGCTTGGAATCAGTGGCCGACTTACCCCTTCTCCTCTTTCCCTCACGACAGCAAAAAGCCAACCTTGCTCGCATCCGAGACAATCAGAGAAGATCCCGTGCTCGGAGGAGGGAATACATCGCGGAGCTTGAGCAGCGCCTGAGAGCTTATGAGCTATCTGGCGTCGAGGCAAGTTCCGAGGTGCAGCTCGCAGCTCGCCGAGTGGCTGAAGAGAACAGACAACTACGAGAACTGCTTCACAAACACGGCTTCCAAGACGATTACATTTCTTCCTTCCTTCTACAGCAGGCCGGAGCCTCTTCCTCGACGGACCCGGTTCAGGCTCTTCAACAAATCATTGCCCCTCGAAGGCCCGTGTCTCTGGATTCCAGCGTGCCTTTTCCCCTGCCCAGCCAGGTGACCAGGGAAATGCCATCGGCGAGCTTATCATCAGTCAGCGCCGCCCCATGGGATCCTCAGCAGGTTGCAATGTCGCCATTCGGACATCCTCACGTCGCTCCACAGCAGGTAGTGCCTCCGGGGCCGCATACTTACACTTCGCCAGTCTTCACCGAAGGGCCTGCGGCCCCCCTAAGGTCGTCTTCCTTCCAACACATGAACCCTTCAAGTTCACTGCTCGAAGACGTCTCCCAACACGGCGGAACCACTCAACCAGCAGTCGGAGAAAATCCCGCAGCGCTGAATTACATTTCCATGAATCCGTACCATACCCCTACAAACCGCGATTTTCCTCCTCAGCAACCCCCGCCTCCTCCCGGAGGTGGCTATTATTGATACGGCAAGCCGAAGATGAATTTACGCACGACGACCCCCTCATGGCTCTGGCGTTTTGATGTACGAGACGATTTCACGTGTTCCCCAAACAGAAACTCGCATGGTTAGCGAGAAGACGGGACTTTACTGGGTTGATCGCAAGAGATGTCGTGGAATCTAGGTGCGCCATGCGCCAGACGTGCTGGGTGGGCAACGCGACAGGGCCCCAGCCACGACACGCGCGAAATCGCGAAATCGCAAAGGACAAGCCAAATCAGTCCCTGGATACCGGCCGGTCTCGGTCTTTGCCGCACATGGCGTCTTCGACATATGGAGCCGCCCTATCGAGACAACAACGCGGCAACGAGATACGCGGGTGCTTCCAGAAGCAATTGGGGGAACGCTATCTGCTGCTTTGTGCCCGATGACACGAGGCCGTCAAGGATCCCGGCAGTGGACACGATCGAGGCATAGCCCCCCGAGAAGAGTCTCAATGCGGAACGATGGCCTGAGTTTATGTGTGGACCCCCGGCAGAACCCCCCCCTGGTTCCTGTCATTAAATACCAAAAGGAGCAGATACCCGGCTTACGGTGTTGCAGCCAACTTCATGCTATAAAACCTTGTCTCTTTCTCCCTTGGCAACCTCGAGGAAGGGATCGGGTTGAATATCAAATGTCAATTATCAAGTACAGTTTGTGATCTGGTAGAAGAGCTGGTGAATGATTTGTCTACGGGCAGCTATACGATCAAGGGCTTCATTCCGAAGTTTTTTTCCTCTTTGGACGAGATGAATACGATGTGTACCTGCGTTGGTGTATGATATTAGGTGGCGAGTTAGATATACCCCCCAAAGGCGATTGAGTTAATATGATGCCGGGCGGCAACCTTTTTTGCGTTTTAGCCCTGCGTTATCTTGCCCAACTATTCGCACACGATGGTAATATTACTCTGTCCGAGTATTTGTCCAGTGAAGGGCCGTTTCCCAATCGTTTCCCATCTAGTTTGCTCGCCAGCCTCGCCGCGTGGAGCCAGGCTAGACTCATACCAATGTGCCCCCAAATGCTTAGTATGCCCGCTTGCTGGGAAAGATGGCTGACTAAATTAGTGACTTTTGGACTTGGGGAGAGAAAGTTGTGCTGACTGATGAGGGAACTTGTTGGTAAGACGGCTAAACGGGTGGGATAATGACGAGGACTCGTAGATGGCCTAGAACGTCATGACAAATACTGGTGCTTTTATTGTTCGAGAGAAGGCTTTCTTATCTGCGTGCGTAATGCTCTGAATGTGGGAGAGTGGGAATCGGCACTTGTTGTAGAACTAGAAATGAGGCTTTGACGCCTCGCTGGTTTTACTAAGAGAAGTGGTATAGATAGAAAGAAAAAAAGAGATGAGGTTGATTACGGGGTTAATTATTGCGGGTGCCGGGTGGTGCTGGGTGGAGTTGTGAATACCAAGGAGTTGAAGAATATCTGATTCGGATACATTCTAGGGTATCGCGGCCGTATGTAATTTTTTTTCTTTTAGCTTGAAGTTGTCGCAACTCTGCGCTTGTACTATTTAGTCGCGTTAATAGTATATACCACATTTGAACTGGAAAAAGAGAGAGGGAAGAGGAGAGATATGAAAGGTATTAATTGACAACATAATTGGTAATGCCATCAAAAATTATTCTTCAACCTCTGTTGGTAGAAGCCGTGAAACAGACTCTGCTCACTCTTATTACCACCCATTTTTGCTTGTCCAAAGTGCACTCACAACGTCAACTCGTGTTCCGGAGACAGCGCCTAAACCACGGCTAAATCGCCATGTGATGGCCGTCAAAAAAGCCATGCAATGCCCGAGCAGCTCGGTAGTTCGGAATCGACCCGCCATGGCGTTATTCCGCCTGAGCCGCACCGCCACTAAAAACTACATCATCAGATGTTTCTAGTTGCCGCGCATATATGAGTCTTTGCTCGCTCGTCATTTCTCCAACGCCGTGATTCTGCGAGCCAGATACGGTACTAACCCCCCAAGACGCGAAAAAAATGCGAGGCAGTGTCGTGGCTAGCAGGCCCTTGAGCCGGATAAGCTGCTCGGCGTGTTGCGCCCGGAGCCGGCAGTTTACCAGGTCGTTTCGGGTGCAGTCGGCACAACCAGTGGTCATGCGAGCGGGATTGAATGGCGGCGTTGGGAGATGTCTTGATGCTGGAGCCAAGCGCGGCACGTATCGGGTTTCCCTGGGGGCGACGAGATCTTTGGCGACTGTTTCAGATCGTCCGGTGGTTGGCTTGGGGCCGTTGGAGGAGTATGACCGGCGAGTGGACGCTGGGATTCTGCGGAATGACGAGCATCAACGAGGTGAGCTTGCGCGATGACAGTGTCTCTTGGGAGCTATATCTGACTGGTACGTCAATGCTAGGCATCATCGAGAACTTGCAACATCTCCACAATGAGCTTCGCAACTACCATGCACCGCCCGTTGTCCATCCCAGCTTCGATCTCCTCAAGCCCGCCAAGAAATCCGTCTTCTCGTCGTTATTTGGCAATGGAGGCGCCGCAAAGGCTACGATCAAGGATATTCCCGAAAATCTACCTCGTGGATTGTATTTGTTCGGTGACGTGGGCAGTGGCAAGACGATGCTCATGGACCTATTTTACGATACCCTGCCCAGCACGGTCAGGACAAAGACGAGGATACACTTCCACAACTTTATGCAGGATGTCCACAAGAGGCTGCACAAGTTGAAGATGCAGCATGGTAGTGACGTTGATGCCGTGCCGTTTGTTGCGGCGGACATTGCGGAGCAGGGTAATGTGCTTTGCTTTGACGAGTTTCAGTGCACGGATGTGGCAGATGCCATGATTCTGCGAAGGTAGGGCTTCCTTCTACTCGAAGTCATTTTGATTTCAATCAACATACGGTCATGAGACGACGGGCTAACTTGAATGAACAGACTACTAGAAAGCCTCATGTCTCACGGTGTAGTCCTGGTAACGACGTCGAACCGCCACCCTGATGACCTCTACAAGAACGGTATCCAGCGGGACTCATTCATCCCGGCCATCAAGCTGCTCAAGAACCGCCTACACGTCATCAATCTCGATTCACCAACCGACTACCGCAAGATCCCTCGGCCCCCCTCGGGGGTATACCACACCGCTCTGGACCAGCACGCCGAATCGCACGCAGAAAAATGGTTCCGCTTCCTCGGCGACTCGGAGAACTTTGCGCCACGGTCCGAGACGCAAAGGGTCTGGGGGCGCGAGATTTTCGTCCCGCGCGTCAGCGGGCGGTGCGCCTGGTTCACGTTTGACGAGCTCATCAAGAAGCCCAAGTCGGCGGCCGACTACCTCGAGCTGGTGCGCAAGTACGATGCCTTTATCGTCACCGAGGTGCCCGGCATGACGATTCGCGAGCGGGACCTTGCGCGCCGCTTCATTACGTTTATCGACGCTGTTTACGAGGGCAATGCTAAGCTGGTGCTCACTACGGAGAAGCCACTGGCTGAGCTGTTTGTCTCGCGGGACGAAATCGCCGAGAGCCTCTTGCAAAGTAACCCGACAGCCGAGACTACAAAGGCCGCTACGGAAAACGTGATGGAGAATCTCGAATCTAGCGTCGTCGATAAGCTCAAGAACTCGAACCTGTTTGCCGGTGAGGAGGAGGCATTTGCGTTTGCCAGAGCCTTGAGTCGGTTGAGCCACATGGAGAGCAAAGAGTGGGTGGAAAGAGGGCTTGGGCTGGAGAGCCAGGGAGGCAAGGAAGATAAAGACAGCTGGACGAAGACGCGAAGTCGACAGATGGAGGATTCGATGTGATTGATTTCTTTTCTTCTTCTTTTCCCTTTGGTACGGGATATGGTCCCCCAGGGCGGTTCATTGTTTGCTCTTTACAATACCCTGAGCGGATTTTACTAGACTACTACTATAACTATTTTACCTAGACGGACGGACGGGAAGAGCATTCTTGGGATGGGATACGTCCAGGCGTGTTATTTTTTTTTTTCATATGTGTACTATATGTATACTATTTCACGGAGATATATTAGCGGCATAGAATAAGCAGAGCGAAGAAGAAAATATATGATGATGATGTGTGCGGCGAATTAATGACGGGTTTTTTCTTGCACTACAGTACAGCTACGGTGATGAATTTAGCCGTCTTAAGTGGTTCCATCTGTGGTTTGGGAGCGAACAAAGGCTCCGCGATTTTTGGCTCCATCTATAGTCTTAGATAGTACCTGAATTAAAAAAAAGACCTAGAGTCTTACACAATTCCCGCGGATAAAATCGAGTGATGGGTAACACTAAAAACGCGAGGAGGCCGCCTGCTGTGCTGGTGTGGCGCTTTCTTTGGTGGGCGTCATATGGTACTAATTAGACCACCCTACTTTACAACACATTACAAGTATGTTAGATGAGGATGGCGTATCGCATCATATTAGTGGAAGCCGCAAATAGCAGACAGCTCGGAGTTTGTGCGTTACGGTACAGTATACTAGTGTAAGCTTGGCAGATATTACTACTACTCGTACCTAGTACGGGCATCAGCTGAATCCCATGGATGTTCTCTGAGACACAGTCAAACAGGCAAATTTCCCACAGCCCGGGACCCTTGATTGCGGGCGGGTGTGTGCTGTGATGGACTCGGCCGAAGAAGCACGTCTCTCGTTTTCGGGTGTGCGGTTTTGTTTGATTATCGCGGGAGTTGCCCAAAATACGAGAGCGCGATGGACGGCGCGCAAGATGGAAAAGCTAGGCGTGTAAGAAGAGAAACCTGGGCAAACGGACCAAAGGTTCGAATTGTATTAGCCGGGAGCCCGGGCGAAAGAACTGGTCCCCGGCTCCGCGAATTGTTTTGGGGGGGGGGGGGGGGGGGGGAGCAGGACCGAGAGACATGTTTTCTTTGGGCGTTTGGATTGGGGATTGCACGGTGCCCCCTTCATCGACATGCTCGGTGCCCTCCCCATCGCCATTGCTGGTCGTCCGATCCGGGCCCCGCAGGACACGAGGTTCTTCCTCTTCCTCCCTTCAGAAGCGAAATGGGACAAAGATGCCGGAGCCCAAAAGGCAAAATGAAGTTGTTTCGTCGATTTGCGAGCGTATCCGACGAGCATTCAGCCTTGGGGTGGGGAGATGGTCAAAGTGAAACGGCCTCCCTGCTCGGGAAGTTCTTTTTTTTTTTTTTTTTTTTTTTTTTTTTGGTTTGGTGTCTTGTTCTGGCGAGCTTCTTTTGTCTTGTTCGCAGAGGTTTCCTATTTCTGCTTGACCCGATCTGAGGAGGGAAGCCCAAAAAAATAAGCCAGGGGACGGGTCTTTGTCTTCTTTTTTGCTCTAGCTATTTTACAGTGCTGGAAGGATGGAGAGAAAAATGGCTCTTTGGGGGGTTGATGATGCCAGGGCTGGCCTGCACAATGACGACGGAAATGCTACTAAGCAATCACCAGTTTGCATGCCAAGGCCAAGGGGGGGTGTTTCATGAACCCCGGCTAGCTCGTAGACCGAGTTGGAAGGCCGGGTAGCGCGTTTATTGTACAGTAGTTTAGTCGAGACATTGGGGGCGAGTGGGATTGAAAGTCTGGGATAGTAATTGCAGAGGGAAGGGGAGAGGATCTTGGGAGAGGTGTGGGTTGAGGGGTCGAGGTGGTGTGTGGTGTCTTGGAGATGGAGTTTTGGCATTGGTGATGTTGATGGATGTGGCGGCGTGATGGTGAAAGGTCGAGATTTCGCATTGGAGTAGTTAGTGCTCTTCCTGCTTCTTGGAATCTGGGTTCTGGGTTTGTCAGACAGATCCTAGCGAGGCCGAACTGTATGAAGCAGGGGACTTGTGATGTATTGTACGAGGATCGTGTAAATGCTGGTTTCGCCATTCACACAAGTGCTGCCCGTAAACTGGCGGTAAAGCTGTCTGCAAGCTGGCAATGGATCAATCCCGTATTCCATAATAACAGCACGACTCAGTACGAGCACTCGTACTGGGTGCTGACGGCGCCACAAGTTCCCTTGCTCGAACCCAAAAAAGCAGCACGATAAAGTGATCCGATGGTGCCGCCATGGCCTGTGGCGGGATATTGAAGGGGAGCTGAACAGGGAGGGAAAAGCCACAGCAAGCGCCTCTGATTGTACTCGTACCCAAGGTATCGAGAATGCAGCACAGGTACAGCACAGCACCTGGACAAGGCACCAAGGCAGCAAGTCCTGGTACCTGCATGCACCAGACGCAACCTCGTTTTTTTTTTTTTTTTTTTTGCCAAAAACAAACCAACGCCAAAGGACAAGGATCCAATTCGTGCAGAACTGCAAGGCCAGGGGTCCAGTCCAAAAGCATTGGATGCAAGAGGTGACGAGCTAAGAGACGCGAAGCAGCGCCTCGCACGGGCCAATGACCGCATCCCTCTTCTGGATTACTGGGGACCGGTTCCTGGATTAGCGCATCCTGCCGCCGGGCCAGCAGCCAATGGCAGCGCCGCGGTGCCTGAGCCAAGGGACGGTGGCCCCTGTGCGGATCCCTGGTGCGGACTGCTGCAAGGCTTTTTGGCTGCTACTGTACTAGCAATCTTAAGCTTGGGGGAGCATGGAGCTTTTTCGCAGCTGGCTGGATTGGGTCGACAGCGGCGCTGATCCTCATATCATCCGTCGTGTCACAGGCGCCTGCCTGCCTGCCTGCCTGCCTGCCTGCCTGTCTGGACTCGGGGCTGGCGCGTGTGGTGCTGGGACTGCTGTATGTAGGTACGAGTACTCGTACGGGTGAGGGCACTTACAGCTAAGGTGACAGCTGATGGGCGACTGGAGAGACGTCAATAAGAGACGTAAGGCCATGTACCTGTACTCAGCCACCTGGTCATCCCATCAGTGTGAGTTCGAGGCTTGATGGAAACATGAAGTGAACAACGTCCACGTCTCCATTCCGCCTAGCTGGCCGTGGCGATGCAAGCCCTTCCCTTCAGCAGCAAGCGTGCATCCACCACTCCATCTCTCTGCTCAAGCTCGCTCTGCTGCTGCACAGCATCTTCAGCATCGCGCTACTGGTACTAGTACCTCGGCCGACTGCTGCAGCGCTCCAGCTAGTGGCCAAGCTGCTTACCTGTGGCAGCCAGTGGAGCGCCCAGCGGCCGTTTTGATTCGGCGCAGCGTTGGGCGCTTGCCAGGCCCCCGGCGTCGCGCAAGTACAGGTACCTGCGTGCCCCGGGACCCTGGCTCGCCCGTCCGTCTAGGTTAATCCCCAGCTGTCGCTCGCTCGCTTCTCGCCTCTTCCCTTCTCTCTCTTTTCCCTCCTCACCACCGTCCTGCCATCGCTGACGACACATCATCGCCTCTTGAAGCGAGCGATCGTGCGGTCTGGGCCTCTGCGTCAGTTCAGTCTTTCCAAGAGCTGCGCTCCGGTCCGTCCATTCATTCATTGATTTGATTTGATTTGATTTCATCGACGCAGTCATTCTTTTTGCATCTGCTCAGCCATCCCAAATTCGCGATATTGCGCGCATTAGTCGAGTGCACACAAAGTCTCGATTCGCTCCCTCTCTCTGGCTTTTTTTTTCTCGCACTGCCGTTTGCATCGTCATTTACTGTACTGCCTGGGACATTCAGAAATAACCACGGCCTGGCATTGTCTCGAAATCCAGCTGCCCCGTTGGTCCCTTGTTTCCCCCAGCAAGAAAAAAAACAAAGACATTTGTCTCTCCCCGCCGTGGAAGAAAACGCTCCTTGACTCAATAAGTCACCACATTCTTTCTCCCTCCATTACTGGCCGTCCCCCGTTCCAGACGACGACTTCCCCAGCCTCTTGCGACTGCGGGATCGAATTGCCAATATATTCAGAGCTCAAGGCGAAATTCAACGCCTTGCTTTTGCTCTGTAACGCCAAATCTTTTTCATTCTCTCTTTGATACCCCGGAAACCACTTTGGACAAGATGCCCATCTCACACAGGCACCTCCACCGTCATCGAGATCTTCTCGATGACATTGACGACATCATCAATGGCGTGAACCCCCACGACAAGCACGACAAGGAGGCTTCTAACAGCAATAATGCCCAGAAAGGTACTTATTAACTGCTTTTTTTATAGCCTGAATGGCCTCGGAGTCGTCCATTTCTGCTGCCTTGACATGCTGACTCCCTCCTAGATGAACAGACGGTGGTTCAAGTTGTCTACAAGACCATGTCAGCTACCTTTTCCGGCCCTATTGGCGGATACGTGACTGTGCACAACCCCCCGAAGGAGACACCGAAGCCTGAGCCCAGTCCAAGCAAGCAACCCGAGTCCAAGGAAACGCCGACACCAAAGGAAACTCCCAAGGAGACTCCCAAGGAGACTCCCAAGGAGACTCCGAAGGCGTCGCCAACCCCCAAGGAGACGCCCAAGGAAACACCAAGCCAGCAGCAGCAGCCGCCGCCATCACAAACACCCAAGGCGAGCTCTTCTACGCCCACTGCAATTCGTGCTCCTGCTCAGACCCATTCCGAGTCCGAGGATTCTATTGTCAAGGCTACTGGCTCACCCACGCACTCTTCCTCGCCGACGCAACTGGCTGATGGCAACCGAGCTCACTCTGCCGCCTCTACTATCAGCCCGGCTTCAGCAACAACGACCCCTAGCAGCGTCAGCGGAGGCAGCTCTGGAACCAGCGCTGGTGCCAAGGCAGGAATTGCCATCGGAGTGCTCGGTGGCATTGCTCTTGTAGGACTGCTCATCTTCTTCCTCATCCGCCGTCGCAAGCAGCAATCGCAGCTTGAGCAGCTTTCGGACGACGACGAAAAGGCTACGCCTCCACCTCCCGTCCAGCAGCGACCAGTTGTGGCACCAGTTGTAGCACCGGTCGTGAAACCAGTCATGACACCGGCTGCGGCGCCTGTCGCGGCACCCGTTGTCGCGGCTGCTGCTGCTGCGCCCGTTGCGCGGGCAGTCTCGCCAATGTCGTTTGAAATCTCTCCCGCGCCGTCTCCGGAACCCATCGAGGACCCGTTTGTTCGCACAAACCCGAATGCGCCGCGCATCAGCCTTCGACCTCTCACTCAGTTCCTCCCTGGCTGGGATCTCGAGAAGCAGACCGCCGCCGCCGGCGCTGCTGCCGCTGTTGGTGTCGCTGTTACTGGTGATGGTGCGGATCGACCTGAAACCAGCCAGAGCAACAACCCCGCCAACCCCTTTGGCCAGCAAGCCGAGCGTGTTCCCTCTCCTATCGGCGATGCGCCAACCCCCCAGACTCCGACTTACAAGCCCTACACGCCTTCCGTCATGTCCATGGCCGAGAACGCGCCAGAACCAGACCTGTCCAAGGCTGAGGAGACTGTCGCTGTGGCCGCCGCTGTTGCCGCTACCGGAGTTGTCGTTGCTGCCGGAACCACCAAGCTGGCTCGCAAGGCTTCCATGAAGAACAAGAACAATGTTGACCTGACTGTGAACACTATGGAAGCTGTCCCCCAAAGTCCCGCCGGTTCCGACTTTAGCGTGTCATCAGCCACTCTTGGATCTGCTCCTAACATGGGTCCCTCTGGCGCGGCAGCAATCGCTGCGGCTGGCGGACCTGCGAACTCGACCGTTCATCGCGTGCAGCTCGATTTCAAGCCCTCTCTCGAGGACGAGTTGGAGCTGAAGGCGGGCGACCTGGTACGCCTCTTGCACGAGTATGACGATGGCTGGGTGAGTACTTCGATTCCATAGCCCCCCGCTTTTTTGCATTCCCCATTTCCCCGGCCTTTACTAACTTGCTTCACTTTAGGCGCTTGTCATCCGTCTGGATAGGTCCCGACAGGGTGTCGTCCCTCGCACATGTCTGTCTACACGACCTGTGAAGCCTCGACCGCCTCAGGGCGCTCCTCCCGCCGGCCCTCCTAGGGGTCCCGGCTCACCCTCTGGCCAGCGACCCATGACTCCCCAAGGCCAACGCCCGATGACACCTCAAGGGATGCGTGCTCCCAATGGCCCTCCCAACGGCGCTCCCCGTATGGGTCCTGGTCCCGGCTCGCGCCCCGCTTCCCCTGCCGGTCCGATGATGAACCCCAACGGCGCAGGCCGACCCCAGTCTCCAATGGGTCGCCCGATGAGCCCGATGAGCCCCGGACCCAAGAACCGGGGCAGCCGACCGCAAAGCCCCAGCACGACGAGCCAACGCGGCAGCGGGAGCCCCCCTGTTTCCAGCCCATTGAACCCAAACCCACCATCACCGACCTCGTCACCAACAGAGCCGGCGCCGGGACCACAAGCAGGTTCCATCGGTAGGAAGCCTGTCCCTGGCCAGGCTTACTGATGGAACAGCCAATGCCAAGTCACTGTCTATTTTCGATAAAGCAAATTGGCCTCGCGCGCAACATCTGGGTAAAAAGGGGTGGCGCTGGGCGTTTTGAGAGGTATCTAAACACTGAATATGGCGCCACGGCGACAATTAAGGTCATAATTCCATTCTGCTCCTCTTTTGACGTTTAATTGTGCCCTGTTTTAGTGTCTGTTTTCTTTCTTCTTTCAAGATTTTCCTTTTTTCTTTTCTTTTCTTCTCTATTCTATACAGCTGATCTCAGCACTTTCATTTACCCTGTCTATATATCATTCACATACGCAAAGGCGACGGCCTCGCCCTAGCCCCGTTGTATTGGGACTGCTATGACAGGTGACCAAATTACTTCAGGCCTATGATTGGATGGCGTGTGTGAACACTGTTACAAGCAGGACTTGATGGGCCTGGCCAATGGCTGGCTTGTATTTTACTTGCCTTCTCTTTACCATTTTTTTCACCTTTACACTTTGATCCTACGGGATGTGACGAAGCTGCGGAGTTGGGGCAGCGCTCATGTTCAAGATTACGATGGCGGGAAGAGACTGTATGTCCCATGAAGGGGAACGAGAACGTTACGGAACGATTATGTGTTAGCCAGGAGGATAGTCACTAGTTACTGATATGAAGAGACATGTTTTAAGATTGCGTTGCAGCTCCCCTTGCATCTGTGAGCAAGTTGTTATGCTGCCATGCCTTGCAGTTGGTATGGAGTGTTGGTTCGGATGAAATGTTGTCCCCAACACGCAGCCTGGTGCTGTAAAGAAGCTACGTGATTAAGATGCCGCCCTGCTGAGACTGAAACGACAACAGTAGCAGCTGATGCATTTAAGCCTTGATATTCACCAACTACCAACGATGAATGATATAACAATCCTCCAATAATAGCCGTGATCGGTTGTTGGTACAATATAGGAGGTATTGCTGCATTCAAGGCTTTTTCGGCGACTTTGAGCCGAATTAGAATAGGAGGTCTGCAATGCGCGCTGAGGAAGTCGCATCCAACACGAGCAGATCACGTTACCAATTACTTCCTCGACTCGCTTCTTCAAACATTCTCATTCAGATGGCCTTCTATTATTTGTTTCGCCCCCTTTTTCAACAATAACGACGATTGAGGCGAATGTATTCCCGAATAGCCAATCCGAAGGCTGGGTTTCCTCGATGCTCAAGCCACATGCCCCATCAAGCGAAAATGATGCCGACACTGTCCTGTCAACGTTAACAGAGGCGCCACGAGGGGGGAAGAGAAACAAGATCACGATCCAACTTGCACTCCCCTCATTCCGAATATCAAAAACCATCTGTTTCACCAAGTTAATTTAACGCTCAACCAAACGAAGATAACCGACGCACGTCAAGCGGAGAGGTCAAAGAGCAGCGGCGCACGGGGTCAGGGGAGGCTTTTCTTTCGTATGGTTGTGCGCCAACTGCTGTATTGTGTTGTGTGTGTGTTTTTTTTCCGCCGTTTGTCGGACAGCTGCATCTTTTGTCTCGGACGTTGCTCCACTCTCTCTCTGGGGGACTTGGGGGGTTTTTTCGTTTTCTTTTTATCTGCCCTGGTTCTCCGCGTTATTTCGATTCTTTTTTTTCTTCTTCTTTGAGGTTCTTGTTGTTTTTCTTTTTTATCACCGTTTACTTTTACGAAGCGTCACCGGAACTCATTTCACAAGCCAACAGCGGAAATCCATATTCACTCCATCATGCAGTCTCTCGCCGTTCTCTTCCTTGCCCTTGCGGGAACCAGCATTGCGGCTCCTGCCCAGGACCAATCTGTTGGCCAACACGTCCCCGAGGTTCAGGGCCAGGACGCTCCGGTGGTGGAACTTCCCGGCTTCAATCATCTCGCCCGGAACGCTACGCAGGATGCTGTCGAGGTCCCCGCTGGTGCTGCTTTTGACGGCACGTGTGAGCAGATTACGCTTGGGGGACACGGAAAGGTCGGTATGACGACTCTTGATGGCCTTTGCAGGAACAGTGCTGGCGATTGGTGGAAGACGAGCCTGAACTTGAACGAGTGTATCGGAAATGTTGGGGGTAAATTGGTGTACCAAGCAGGGTAAGTTGAATACGGATCATTGTGTCTTTTTAAGATGGTTGGGCTGACGTTGCTATTTGTAAAGTGGTGGATTTGATGCTACTTGCAGGCCTTGCACGATTGACAACATCCACGGGGGAGATAACATGAACCTCAAGTGTAACTGTCTTGATGACAGCCGGATGCCAAGGTTCACTGCCTTGGAGATTGGATCTCGTGGTGAGTCAACTTTCTTTCTGCTCAGAGAGGAGAGATGCTAATGTGTACTAGTTGGAAACCCCTTGGCTGTCAAGCTGGTTGACGGACGCTTCGTTTGCGGCGACAACGCTGGTAGCCTGGGCCCGGCCTTTGTCTAGTAGACCAATGGGTTCCTTTCCTTGAGAGAAAGCAAGTGATCGAGGATGGAGGAGGTGAGAAATGGACAAGCTATGTGTTTAGTTAAATGGATGGTATTGGGAACATCTGAAGTCAGCTCAGGAGATGCTAGCGAATACATATTGAGAGTGCAGATTGAACCATGTTTGATGTCAGTGTTACTTGTAAATTGCCTTGGTGTATAAATGCCATTCATCTTTTGATTCCGTTACCATATTCAGGGAAACGCCTGTTGAACACGCCAATTTTGCCATCCAGCATTCCGTGTCGCGAACTTACGAGTACCTGAGTGAAAGTACCAATTACTAGACGTGTATAGGAATAGGAATATACTCCGTAGCAGTGCGGCTTTGCTTCATATCCAAGTTTTGACGCTCCAACTTCACACGCGGTCACCAGAGTGCTGAATATCAATCCACGCATTTAATTGCCCTCACAGCGTATCCATTCAGTCAAGTAGGTACTGTAAAGGCGGAGATGATGTTGTCGCATCGTACACTTGGTACAATTCGAAGAAGAAGTTCAAGTGTCACCCTGACCTCAAATGATGATACGCAGTCCCAGCTTCTCACAAGGAGATGCCACAAAGTTGGCCGTTTTGTAAGTCCTTGAGCGAGAGCGCAGTTTGCACGTAGTTTGAAGTGATAACACTGCCAACTTCCAGGTGGTGATGCATCTACACACCTACCTTCGTACCTATATGCATCTATTGATTGTCAGTTGGCCGTAGAGTACACGCAGCTCACGACCGTAAATCATCGCCAGTTGTCAAACGCTGACGAGTCCAACTTTGGCAGCTGCCACATATCAAGACTATCTCTATTTATTATGAGGTAATAATCCTAATTATTTCTCCTTCTCTTCAACTTCATCATCTTCCCTCCCCCCCCTCCTCCCCCTCCCCATCTTCATCATCACCCTCTTACCCAAACCATTTTGGTGTCTACGTCCCTACCTCCATGCTTCCCATCAAAGTTGAAGGATCACTAGTGATGGACGACAATATGATGGACGCCCGCTTTCCAGGAGGATGCTCCAACCCACCAGACGTTGTTTTTACTATGAGAAAGCAACTCGAGAGAAAGGAGGTCATGGCCGAGATGCAGCCACTGCTTCTACGCCTTCGCGACAAGTGGACTGAGGAACTGGCCGCGGATATTGCGGCAACTCTAACGGCCCGAAAGCTTCAAGTGATGGAGCCGCAAGCGAAGGGACTGCTCTCCGGGTGGATCTATCAACAAGAAGATCCAAAATACGTTCAGTGGCTGAAGGACGCAGAGGTAGACATGATCTCCGTTTCATGGTGGGAGCATTTAACAATCCCCGGCGAGGAATACTGGTCGTCTACGATAATCATGCGCTCTGTTCTTCAAGAGATGGATGAGGCTGTGAAGACGCTCAAGCTTCCAACTGATCAGGAAGAGTTCTTCGAAAAGTCATTGTCGATGCTCAAGATGTTCGTGGGGCGTGTGGATTGGCTTACCAGGAAACAAGAAGAATTTCCAAGACTGAAGCCCGACACTTTGAAGCTTCTCATGTGTGGCGAGTACGGTCGATGCAGCTCGCCGGACTACTAGTAAAGGGAGGGAATGGAGGCTTTTATACTAAAGTATCTCATACTATACGGGTGGCTGCTCAGGCTTGATGGGACGAGGGATTTGGCGCTGGACGGGTGGATTTGATACGGATCATGGGTATGACGATTTCTATTGAGGAGTTGATCATTTTTCTCACGCTATCTGAGGAATTGGAAGGGATTATGGCTTTTATCGACTCAATTATTGGGATGGGTACGGATCTTTCACGGAGTTTATTAGGTGAAGCCAACGTCATGGGCTGCCGGGTTCTCGCGATCTTCAGAAGGGTCGAGCAAGATGCTAGCTCGACTTCATTAGTCTTCAATTAAGAGCGCTCTCTCCTTGGACGCCCGTGTTCATGCCTCTGTTTGTGCCATATATGCATCCACTCGGACATCCAGCCGACTTGGCTCTGTGAAACATGCGGCCGCTCAGCCCATCAGGGCGTGTGTGCCAAACACGACAATATCTATTCCCATGCACAGTCATTGGATTGGATCTCATCCGTGCCTTGATCATTGATATCTGTGAATATCACTGTATTTCTCTGGTACACCTCTGATATCAATAGGCAGCCAACTTGGGGCGGTCAACCACTCACACTGCCAGCCAGCGGGCGGTCAAGAGGGCAGAAGCCCCCATTCAATTCACCTTGAGGCGACGACTAACCAAGAGCTCTTCTTTTTTCTTCCTTCATTCACCTGATCCTCTAATTTCCGAAGCAACAAACCCTATTTTTGCCATCTATTCTCGCACTCTCTGGTTCTTCAGAGCTTTCGTTTTCCCCAAATATTTCGCATACAGGATTCCCATCTCTCCAACGAGAGACGTTCAAGACACACGACAAAGAATTCCGCATCAACAGAGGGCCGACCAAAGGAACCTACATATGCCCACAGCACTCACTGAAGACGCATTTTCGAGATCATCTGAGCAACTGCCTCCTGATATTCTGCCCGACAATTCGACCCTTGCATCATTTCTAGTCAAAGCCATGGGGAGCAGTCAACAAAACGAGTCCTTCCTCATGGAAGTAACACACGTATTTACCCGCGAAGAAGCGAAAGCTTCACTGTCGCATATTTTCGAGCTCTTTAACAACGACCAGCACGACCTGGTGACAGAAGAGATGGCAAATGGTATCCACCTGAAGCATACCAAGGTTCTGAGCAAGGCCGACAAATCATTTCTTCGCATGTGGGCCTACTCAGTCGGGGACTCACGGGTTCTATGGCTCCTTGAAATCTCGACGGACGACTTGGATACCTATAGCTAGACGGAGATGGTTGAGAGACCCATGTTAGAGCTATTGTCTATTCAATCAGAGCATACTCTTCGGACGGATACGAAGAGCTGTCTTGTTGAGAAAGACGAATACCAACTCATGCAGAGCAAGTTTGAACAGCTGAATGCCAAGATTGAAGATCAAAAGAAAAGAACGTCGGATGCTCAGTTACACATGCAGATTCGGCTGGCTGAACTAAGTGAGGAGATTTCCGTCGTCAAAAGGGATCTGGAAAGTGTCAAACAACAGAATGCCGAGATGATTCAACTTTTGAAGGGAGTTCCTGCACAAGAGGAATCTGAAGACCCAGTGTTTACCAGACTACGGAAGGACAGAGAGTCCCAACCCTATCATTTCCGTAAATGATGTACGAATCGGAACAGAGTATATGCTGCCACATGAAAGACATGTATATGCTCATGCTACCGACCTCTACCTCGATCGTTTCGTTGAGGATTCCAAGATACATTCTTACATTGATACAGCGCCGATATACCCTGATGTCAAAAACACTATTGGGGGGTGGATGCTTGAAGCGCTTAGTTGCAGCGGCTAAGAATATGCGAATTTGGAATTGCTTTTATTTATTTTTTTCGTCCAGCAAGCTGATGTTACGAATTCGCAGATCATGATACCATTTGGTGCGTCAATAGCCATAATATGTTGTTATCGAATGTTAAAGCTCAAAAGATGCCTCTGGGAAAGAGAATGTGTTCATCATGGATCTCATATATATGCGTTGAGATTGGGCCCTGGTGATCTCTCTATCGTCACGCTCTCTCCAAAATAAGATGTCCATATCTCACTGTTGCCTCGTTGTTCCAAACCTCAATCAGTGCTTGGCCCTGCCCTAATCGTGACCCTTCGTAATAAGCAAACTCATACGCCGTCGAATACAACAAGTTAGAAGGTACAGTGTTCAGGTTCGCGTTCTCCGTCGGCTCCCAAGACAATTCCACGTTGTTTCCATAATCATCCCGGGTGGTGGCAACCGCTTCGTCTTCTCCATCCCATTGTTGGCATATGTCCTTGGCCAGGGTATAAACTTTACCCTCAGAAAGACCAAAAGTCCGGCCACCCGATGTGCCCTCATTCAGCAGCCTGAGGGTGACTTGGCCCTGGGTGTACCGTCTACCAACTGGGCTCTGGACTGCCTCTCGCCTGGCCAATGGTGGAACCTGTTTTGTGATTTCTCCCGTCTCCAGGTCGAGGAGGTAATAATTTCTAGGGGGATCCCCTCGCTTCCAGGCTGTCTGATTACCAGAAGCTGTGTCGTTTTCCGCAGCGCCTATCAGTTCCAGGGCGCCCGGCGGCAGTTCGTCTCTCTTCTTGCTTAGGCCTAGTATCTCGAAGCTTTTGAACAGGCCTTTTGTCGTCCAGCAATCTCCAGGGTTGAGGAGCGCATGGGGTATGAAGGACGTAGTTCCTTGCCAGTTTGGCTGGTTGTATGTATTAAGTCCAGCGTTCGGAGCACCGGTCAAGTCGTTGATAACTAAGAAGGACGTCAAATCCATGAACGCATTGGCGTGCGTCGTAGACTTGCTGAAACTAAACTCTTCGACAGATGAATGGCACACTGGTTCCGAATGTGCTTTAATAAGCATGAACCCTTGGCCGCATGATGCCACCGCGCCTGCTATTAGCTGCGATAGTACAAGGCCGGACGACAACATCTTGCTCCAGGTCTGCATTTTGAAGTTGGAGGCGCTGAAGGATATTGGGTGGACAAGGCGGGAATTAAATAAGAGAGAGGAAACTGTATTAATAGTAATTCAGGTTGGTGCTTTCTCTACCGTTTATAGACGGGTCGATGAAGCTCATCTTTGGATGATCAAGTTTGAGACCATCCTTACTTCCATTAGACCACCATGCCGACTTGAATCCATAGCTATGTTGGCTTGGATGAAGTAACCTTCCCGAATATCCGAACAATGCCGGATTGAGTGAGAGAAAATTGATCCAAGAGCATATAATAGTATGCATGACTACAAAAGTACTGTATTATACAGCATTACCCGAGAATTAAAAGTGGTGGCTTTTATGTAGTTGCCTCCGTGTTAGCGGAGATGGGTTGGACTCAAATTCCGAACGTATGGAGTCGCTGCCCAAGTTAGCCAGTTTCTATCTCGTAAACATCAGTAAGAAAACAAAGTTGGAAAGTGATTTTCAAACGCATAAATTAAGCTTAAACCTAACGCATCCCATCATTTGACCTGTTTATCGTACATGTGTTCGATTCGCGGGAGCACCGTCGTCGCACTACGTCTGGACTCTGCCCCGAAGGAATCTGCTGGTAATCCATCTTGGCAGAAACCAGAACAGAGGATATGCCTGCTACATGAAAATCCATCATATGATCTCTATATGTTCATTGTACGAGCAGCTCACAAGCTGAATTGGGTCTTCAGTCTATTTAGTTTGTTCAAAGGCTTGCTTGACGTAGTTGGAAGCCTTTGTCGATCATCTCAAGTCAACCGCTAGAAGCTGTCGTAAACCAGGTCCAAGGCATCGTTGCTTTAATTAAGCCTACGTGGGATACTCACCTACCTTGGAGAACCAGTCTCCGCCGCATCCAAACCAAAATAGATATTGTAATCACCTTGGAACTGTTGAACTAGGAGGATGTCCCGCCTGGGCTCAATCTGCGTAGTGTAGAATCCTCCAGGTAAACATCCGCAGCATTGATTCCAGCCGACATTTACATTCAAGCCGTCAGATGCTCCACTGGAAACTCTTGCTGATGGCCTTTTTTGAACCAGCTATTGTAGCTTGCTAACACATTGTATTATTCAAAGAGCAGCTATTCAGCATCCCAAACTGGCTGTATTCAGCAACCCAGCAGAGTTCAAGTATCGAAATTGGATGTGAAGGAAAGCTGTTTATTTACTACCACATGCATTTGCCCAAGTAGTAAGTATACCAGGTCCTTTAAGCATCTGCTACTATTACTACCTTCTGCTACTGTAGCTACATTCCTCTAGTATCTGCTGCTATAGCTACATTTTCCTAGTAAGCGACATGGGATGCTAAATAGCAGAATAGGAGTGCTGACTAGGCATTCCTGTATCCATGAACGAACTTCTATACTATAATCCTTCAAGTACCATTGTAATAATACGGCCTCCACACGCTAGAATAAGCTGCGATTGGGATACAGCAACGTGAGATGGGCGATATTCTGGAGGTATCCATAACATTCTCTTCGAATCTCTCATCAGCCAAATTTTCTCTGGAGATATCCAATATTTCTTCAACATTGAATGTCTGGCTTTCTCAATAGGCATATCCTCGTGGACACTAACATCCGCGTTGACAAAGGCTAGAGGAAAATCGAAATCATGGCTGGGATATAGGTCTGGATAAGGATGGAAACGTAGAATCTTGGCTCCTGTCGACGTATCAAAAATCTCGATGTCCTCGTTTGGCGCAATAGTAATCAACTGCGTCCCCTGCGCTGAAAACATTGCGGATGCGTCAGGTAAGGAGTCTATTTTTGGGTAGATAATAGACACCGGTATTAGATGACCTGTCGACAAATCCTCAATACGAATTCTTGACTTCACAATCACATCACTCAATGTTTCGATTAATGCCACTTTCGTGCTATGCGAACATACCACAATCTCCCAAATGTACCCTTCGTATGTCTTCGAAATTCTCGTAGAATTGTTAACAATAGAAACCTCAGACCCATACTGGATAGAAGAAGGGTAGGAGCTGGACATGTAAATCTGATTATCCTTGGAGAAAACGCATTGGAAATTTGTGGGGCTCCGGGATCCATCAGCAGACGTATTTAATTTTGGTATATTCCGCAGTATCGGCGTCTGACAATCCTGGGTCAAATCCCATATCTCTACATATTGGCGGAATATGACTGCCGCCAAGGGCGCGAAACTTGAGAATTCAACGCGTAAGATAAAGTTATCGTCGTCATCGGGTTTGCTGATATCTAATAGTCTGCAGCTCATATCTTTCAAGTCCAATAAACCAATAGCAGATTGGTTTGAATAATAGAGTGTTTGGTCCCCCGTGTTCAGAGATATATTTGTAATGTTACTGTTCAAACGGGCCCCAGAGTTTGTAGAAGGTGCAGTATGCAAGTCCCATATTTTGATCAGGTTGCTTGAGTAGGATGCAAGCATTGTTTCGTCTGGAGAGAAAGCCATGTTAAAGATCGTATCTGTGTGGCCTGTAAGAAAGTGTCGTAATGTTTGATTTTTGACATTCCAGATCGCAATTGCCTCATTAGAACTGCTTGCAATTGCGAGCATGTCTTGACTACTGGATAAGACGAGTGCTGTAATCCATTCAGATTGTCCGTTAAAAAAAAATCCAGTTTCTCCCGTCTTGATATCTAGGAACTGAATATCGCCTCTGCCATATCCAATGATTAGAAACCGTCCATCGTGGTCAAAGATAACCTTGGAGATCTTGTGTGTTTCACTTTTGAATTCTCGGTAAATCATATTAACTGGGAGGTCCCAAATAACAATGTTAAACGAATCGAAAAAGGCTGCCCATTTGCCATCTTGAGAAATTTTTGCCTGGGTCAACTCGGAACTGGGAAATGCACTGAGTTGAACACTTGTGGATTTACCAGATTGTAAATTGAGGACTGTGTAAGCTCTGCGTGATGATAAGATCGATAGCGAATTTCCGGTAAGCGATGAAGATGTGGACCAAAATGAACGATTTTGATGAGTCGAGAATGTTTTTAGACATTGTTGATTTTCGATGTCCCAAAGTTCTACACATTCGCCTTCTATAATTATGAGCCGACCATTTGGGCATATAAGAAGTTCATTCATGTTGCCTCCCTTGTTATAGAGCTCATAAAGGCACGAGGCTGTTTTCAGGTCCCAGATCTTGACACTGCCGCAATTGTAGTCGCTGATTATCAATTTTCTGTCGGACCAAATGACGAAATCCGACAAAGCATCTGCATATGTTCCAGGTTCTATGGTCTGGACACAAGCCGACCAGTCAGAATCAACCTGGGGCATTTGTTTGATGAAAGCTGAACAATCTGGCTCAAAAATCTTCCGAATAATGCTATTGGTTGGCGAAAAAACGAGTGCTGAATTATAAATTTGTAATGGTGCTTCTTGAATTGCTGGTCTAAAAGAGAGAATGAATCTGTTGGCGTCCTGGAGCAGTTTCGATAGTTCAAAACAAATGTCTCTCTGAGCAGCAAGGGTCAGTGCGCCATTTGGGAAATTGGGTAGTTTGAAAGGCACTTACATCGGCAAGTGTCTTCAAGGCACGTATGAGCTCAACCCCTTCATTGATTCTTCCAAGCCAGGTCAATGCTTCGATCCAATTTAGCATCTTGGTTTCAAGTAATTTATGCTCTGGTCCTCCATCTTGGAGCACCATCTTTCCCTCCTGCACATGGTGTACCCAATAGATGCATGCGTATGCTATAGCTTGGGGTAAATGTTCTTCAATTGTGTCCTGTTCGACTTCCTCTCTGATCACGCCTGGATCCTGAAGATTGCAGATATCGTTATGCAAATCCGTCGATAGCAGTTGTACACATCGCTTGGCTAACCACGCATGAATGGTTGCTTCTTCGATTCGCAGACCTCGACAGGACATGCCGTTCTCGCCAATAAACGAATTCTCATCCAATACAAAATCCCGGTATGAAAGATGGAATAATTTGATCGGCGTATCCGCAGATTGGACATCCAACACAGAAGAAAGGGGGTTCAATTTGCTGTATATTTCACTCTTTTGAAACCCAGTCAAGTCGGAGAGAGCGGAAATAGAGAGAGGGCTGGTAAGAAGAACAACCGACCCAACAATTTTCTGAAACTCGGCGGTAAACTTTTTTCTGGCATGAATGGGAATTCTGTCCATGATTTGAGCCAAAATGGAACAGTACAAGTCTTCCACATGGCCTTCCCCCCTTGTGCTGAACTCCAATATGTGTGCAATCTTTTGATCTGGTGTCTCTGGCCACTGCTCGTTTCTGAGCATTCGAGATACTGTTGCAGCAGAGATAAAGAGAGGACTCGCCATCCGTACTAGCCGATTGAGTATCCCTTTTCCAGGCCAGTCCAATGGAAGCCGTTGACCTTGCTTCATCTTTTCTTCATTTTGGTTATACTGGGTTTTGTATTCCTCTATATCGTTCTCCAAGAAAATCCTAATGTCGCTCTGGATTTTAGTCTCTTCCACCCGATGCAGTATCATATTCTGACGGATACTGCCTGTAATGTTGAACTGTTGGTTTATATGATATTCTGGTCTGCTGGTAAGAAAAATCTTGGTTACAACAGGAGAATTTATATTGTGCGCCGTTAGTAGTTTGATCAAAAGCTTTGCATCCTTGGGTGGATCGCATTCGTCGAGTGCGTCGATAACGACCACAATTGTCATCCGCTCCGGGGTCGGCTCCATATGAGCTTCCTTGAGAAGACGAAGCCACAACTCTCGAAACTGAGTTTCCAGCAGTTTGTCTCCTATCTCAGGTTCTTCCTGAAGTATGCTATGGAGGACCTGCGTCATAATAGGCTGCTTGCGGATCATTTGGCTCGCAATCGTTGCAAAGAACCGCCGAGCCGTTCCGCGGTCACCCTCGCCTCGTTTGAAGAAAAAACTCGCGCCCAAACTTTTCCCGTCAAAATTCTTTGCTACTGTCTGCGCTATGGTTGATTTGCCCGTTCCGGCCAACCCTTGTAACCAGAAAATGGAAGGGCTAGATGGATCGGGATCGGTTGCCCATTTATATATGGTGTCAAGTATTTCGATCCGCGTGCCAGGGTGACATTCATCTCTGGATGATTCTGAAAAGTCATCATAAGCTGCTCCTTGAGCAACTTGAAGCTTGCTTAGGATGAATTCTCTTTGTATGCTTTCGAGTAGCACTCTATGCACTGTTAGAGCCTCAAACTTGAATAGAGAGGAAGTAATCCTTACAAGTGGTAATTTGATGAGTGCTGTAATTTACCAATGAGCTCAAAAAGCTTTTCGAAAGATTTGTTCTGATTGAGAGAAAAAAATCTTTCACAGTTGTCTGCGCATTTAGTAAGTTGGGAACTGCTCTCGTCCAGACTTTTAACTTTCTTCTCCACGTCGTTGAGTAAGAATGGAGCCATAATTGCCATGGATTTGTTTCTATGAGAGTACAGAAAGCTGACGAAAGACAAAGAATTTGCGTATGAGTCGACTAGGGATTCTTCAAGAGCCTCTAGGGCCTCCTTGATGCCATCGGTGACAGAGCTGGAGGTCAAGTATAACCTTTGATACATGTTGCATTGCAGAAGTAGTGAGGTGACAGAAGCCAGACCTCCCAATATTTGCATGTTTAGCTGATGGTTCGATGTAATGCCCTATACAAGACGTTCCTCTGTCAGCCCTTGTCGAGCTCAAGTTTCTGGTATGACTTACCACAAGGACCACTCGTACAGCAGCCCATGGGAGGGCTGCATGTACTGGATCATAGCTGACTGCAACATCACCTACTGAGATGAACTGGTTGAGCATGGAAATAGTCTTTTCAACATAGGCAGATGTCGAATTATGACCATGCTTATCCTTAAATTGCTGCTCCATCACCTCCATGACGCTTGACACCAAGTCTGTCATGACTATCGGTCTGGCATTAGAGGACCCATCCTGGGGAACATGTTTCTCGATTTCGTCGATCAGATATATGGCATCTCGGTCTTTTGATTCCTTTACTTTCAGTAGCACTCGGTCCCACAAGGCTTTAGCAATCCTTTCTTCATGTCCCGCTGTCTGTTCTTGTTCGGGTGCAGTATGTGTGTCACCTTTCGATGGAGATGGCTCTGTTGGTCGCGGTATTAGCCCTATACAACCTTGGTTCGAGAAGAGTCAACCTACGGTGTGACAAAGCGACGGATAACAAGGCATTGCCTGCCCTGACGAGTTCTTTGTGGGCTGGGCTCTCCTTTGGGGGTCTTGGGACATGGGCGTCAGTAACCTCCTGGGATTTACCCTTTTTGCTTTTGATGGGGAGCTTCCAGCCCTTCATTGTGAATATTATTGACAATAAAGAGCCGATGCTTCTGCTGAATTAGAAGGCGTGGAAGTGGAAATGACGCGTGGGATTAAATGTTTGCCAAGGTTGAAGAGGAGGATCTGGGATAAGGCAGCAATGGCGGGTTTGCGCCAACAGTACCCGAGGATCCAGCAGCTGAAACTACAGGCGATAAACCACGTGCCTTGTTATAATTGGTTAATATAACATGCACTCATGCAACGAGAGGCGAGAAGCATTCAATCTCGTCCATAGAGCTAGCGGGGGTTCACAAGGCTCTGGTGTAACATTAGATTGGCCAATACCCTAGGAGGCAGTTTTATACGGATTAAACAGTCGAGTGCGCAAAGCTAGGTTCATATTTACAGACATAAACTGTAATCACACACATGCAGATGATCGAAGAATTTCGAGGCTGTGTGCCATATATACATACAAAGGAGACAAGCTTAAGGAATACGAGAAGCGACGATACATGAGTAAACGTCTGTTGAAAAGAGTACTACACTTGTGATTGTATTTATATTTATGAACCTCCGTACGCCGAAACAACAGTTGGTTATCCGATATATTCGCCCCTCAAAAATACAAGTTTATCCTTTGCCGCTCCTGGGTTGATCGATAACCAAGAATGAAAACGATGAATGTGAGCAAAGAAGAAGAAAACCCTCTAAGTGCTGGAAATACAGACGAATTGAGCAAGCCAAGCCGAAAACCCTTATCACAAGAAATAATCGGCAACTGGCTTCTTGGCAGGCATCCCCCTAGAGTCCTGAGGTGCAGCTTGGAACACGCGATACCGTCGAGCAGGTCCATTCTTAGGACCGCCTCTCGACTCAATTATGCCACCAGAACTACGGCCAACGTCTCCATTCGTCCTCTGGAAGATGCCCGTGCCTGATTCGTCCTCGGTGAGCTCCAGCACGGCAGCGACATTGCCGCATCGGTAGCAGTAATTAGGAGCAGACCAGACGGTGACGATAGAAGCGTCAAACATTTCCTTGAACCCTTCCATGACAAGCTGATGCGCACGCGCGATGAGGCTCAGGTCGTTTCGGTGATTAAAGACTTTGACAATATCGGCCCCAAAGAGGAATCCGGCTCCTCGGGGAGAAAGACCCCAACCGTCAATTTCGTCCGGATCAGACCACAAAAGATCGCACATGGCTCCTTCGTGGGGAACCTCTTGTTTCCGATCAATGAGTCGAATCTTGTCTACTGTGTCAACAAGGGGACTCAATCCACCATGCACGCAAAGGATGGCCCCCGTAGGGTTTCCCACGCTGCCGCTGCTGGATCCAGATGCTCCTGTGCCGGGTGGGCCCGTCTTGTCCACTGTGTTTTTATTGGAGCTGTCGAGTTTCTCCTGGGAAGATTGGTTTGCGGGCTGTCGAGGAAACCGGCTGATTATGGAGCCAGCCTGATCGCATACTTCAATCTCGGTGTCGTCGTCTTCTGGCGAGCCGGGGGAGAGAGTGCTGGAGGCACCCAAAACAATGGCACCGAGGGCAAGGTAATCGAATACGTCGCAGCAATAGCGCCATACGTTTGCGCTGCCGTACTTGCGAAGACACTCGTCGTAAAAACCATACACTGTCGTAATCTGCCGTGACTCGTGGTTGCCGCGAATCAGTGTCATGCGGTCTGGGTATCGAACTTTGAGGCAGAGGAGGAGGAGGAATGATTCGAGAGAGTAGAAGCCACGGTCGACAAAGTCACCTAGCAGATTCATAAAACGTTAGGAGGAGATGATGGCGAGTGATCGAGATATGGATGGAGAGCCGTACCCATGAAGAGATAGTTGGTGTCGGGAACATCGCCGCCAACGCGGAAGAGCTCCATTAGGTCGTGAAACTGGCCGTGAATATCGCCACATATCTATCCATTTGCAACGGTGCATTGATTAGTATCCATCCTCCTCATTGCAATCTCAGTCTCGGAGAGAAAGACGTACTGTTACCGGCGCCGTCACGGTGACGACGTTTCCCTCTTCGATAAGAAGCTCTCTAGCACGGTGGCAGAGCTCCCGCACTTGGTCTTCCGGAATGGGGCGGCATGAGCGCAGCTGCGCGATCGCTCTGTAGGGCATATTAGCAGGCAAACAACATTTTGGGCCAGGGCCGGCATGTGAACGGACTTGTCGAGATCGCTCATGATGGGCGGCGGAAAGAGAAGGTGACTGACGCCACACGAGCGGTGCGCCGGTCAAGCTGATGCAATAATCGGATAGAGATAACAAATCGCTATAACATGTCGCGGTAAAGAGGTTGATGCAGAGCGGAATCGCCGTTTGGCGTGGGAAACGGCAGAGTCACGCGAGGCGCAGCGGAAAGATGGAAGTCGAAGATTCAAAATGCATCACCACTATCGCGTCCAAGATGCGGCTGCGTTTCGGGCGGAAGTATTAGAGTGGCATGCCGCTAACCCGCTTCATCTCTAGCACTGATCAATCGCTATCCCACAAACTCCAGCGGCTGTTTTTTAGCGCTCCAGCAAGGACCTGCAGCAGCCCGGCATTCTGGGACTATGGAGTGGAATTACATTGCGCCGCGCCCCGGGAAGCTCTCACCTCCCACTAACAGCGCAGCCAATGAGGGCACACCTAATCGAATGTCTCTGTCGATCATACTAACCAGGCGCCTTTTTTCTGCTGAGCTCGTCGAGATCCAACTGCAGTTGGGACTGCCAACCTCCAATTGGATGCGCATCGTGGTTTGAGGGAACATGCGACAATTACCTTGTGAGTCCTCAATGCTTACATACATATGCGTCTATACTCTACATGTCACTGTTGTTGGACCGGCATAGGTAACTAACAGCTGGTGTCAAATCAAATCTACAGCCTCAAACACCACAGTCAATCAATCCCGCTGACAGCCGAGGGATTGCCCACCATGCCGCCGCATCTGCACCCGCGGTCCCGAATGACCTCGTCGCTCTTCGCTACGACGGTCCTTGCCAGCTTCTTCGTCGTTGCCCTACCGCATCTACTGCCGTGCCCGGTCCCGCGGACAAAGTACGCTGATGGAGAGATTATCGTCGACGAGAACGGCAGACGGAAGAGATGGAAGAGGAGGGACGTCGATACAAAGGACGGACTTGTGCAGTTCAACCAGACGACAGACGATGAGATTGAACGTGCGGCAGAGCGAATGACGAGAGAGTGTCCCGTACCGAAACCCGGAGGGATGTTGGGAGAGTGGCTCGGATTCCACGCCACAGATGACAAGACGAGGGCAAACAGATGACGATTGATACCACCAAATGAATAATAAAAAGAAAGGGAAAAAAGTTCAAATATGCGAAATTTCGGCAGAATACTGTTCCGTGAATGTGTGCTGGATGCGGAGATCAACAACAGCTCTCTCTGTTCCGACCAGGCCGGCTCTGCAAGGCTGACATACGGAAGAGACTGCGAATCACCAGACTAAGAGGATCGGTTGTTGCAACACCTGTTCCACAAGTGATCTGAAAACCACTGTACTATCCACTGAAACGGAGTCATTTGAGTTGCTGAGTTCGCTCAATGGATAACCTTTGTTATTAGCTTACATGCCTGCTCATAGTTCCCGTGCCTCCGGTACTACCCCAGCGAACAATTGAAACCACAACAGGCAACATCCGCACCATATTCATACAGGTCATCATCGTCTGATCCAATGCTAATTTTGGAACTTTATTGTTAACCCTGTATGAGCGGCCCCAAGCCAGGCCAGCCGTTTATGTTTCTGTGTGGTTTATGAACCTCGGAACGCAACATGAGAAACGCCCCGAAACTTTCAAACATCATGACGCATTGGCGCGACTCAGGCCAGACGGGACTTTCAAAATCGTCTCTCTTCCTTTGCCTCCGTTGCCGCCGTCTAGACCGTTGGGGGTTCTGCGGCTTTGTTCGTTGCCGGTCGATCTGGCGTCTGAGAATCGCCAGGGGGGTGAAACTTGCCCCGCGGTCTCAAACGTGGGATCAAGACCAAGCTTTTCTTACCCCCAAACAATGACACTTACCAGATTCAGCTACTCTGTTGGTCATTCTGCGACGCTTCACCTTCACCGGTTTGAGCTTATACCGCCCGCGCTATCCCCTCGATCCTACCGTGATGGCGTTTTCAAGTTTACTTGGTCATGGGTGCGCTAAGCTTGGATTTAGTGTTGCTTTATAGCTTCTGCCGGGAGACGATTCGCGTTTCGCATTGATATTCCCCGACTCGTGATACTTTCGCTTACGGTTGTGCTTTGGGGATTGCTGGTACTCACCCATGATGTTGTGATGGCTATGACGATCAACTGAGATCGATATGTCATCAAAACCAGCGAATCATCCGATAGACCAGGGGCTCTCTACCTCCTTCACCTCCGTTGGGGTAGCCTCTGGATACCATCACATCCGGTCTCAGGGGTTGACGACTCATACAAGCTACAACTCCATGGCTAAGCGACTACAGCTCCGGATGAAGATGAGACGGGCAAAAAGCTTGTGTACGGCAGCATCCGAGGTATCCTCTTC